AAAGAGCAAATCATCAGTCACTAGGAAATGAAGGCTGGAACTTTCCTTCTTCTGAAAAGGACTTTCTGCATTGAAAGTGCAGCCAGTGTCCCTGTCTTAGCCTTCTGAGGGTTTCAGGGAAGGGTTCATGTAGTTGCAGGTCCTATTTGAAAGCAGGGGGTAGGTCCATGGTAGAGACAGGGTAGTCCATACAGAAACTGTATCTTTGTGGGTGGTGAGAGAGGGAAGGGCTTCTCTCCACCCAAAATATTCCATTATCTTTCCCAGTGACTAGAACCTCCACAGCAGGACTGATTTGATTTTCTAATGTAACCTGGGTGGGCTACACTAGCAGTCCTTTAAGAGACACGGATGTGATAGCACAGGCTCCATTGCTGAGTGGGGTTTAGGCGGGGAAAGCGTACTCTTGCCCCTGTGAATTCAGTCAAGCGACTAAATGAAAGTTAATGACTTCCTTTACTCCCGTCTACAGCGGCATAAACACAACTAGGAGAGCAAGAGGGCTACTGCGCTCCCCCGTGCATGATCACCACTACCCACCCAAGAGCCGCACGCCACGTTTCAACAGATCCTACAGCGCGAGGAACCCGGTGTGCGTCTGAAGGCCGGGCAGCTGGCAACAGCCCCACTCCACTCGCACACGTAACGGACCCAGCGCGGGTGCTGCTGCGAGACAACATGGAGCCCCTTCCTGCCATTTTGCAGGCGCCGCTCCCCAAGCGGGGGAGGGAGGGGAAAGGACTCCCCCTCACGGCCCCAGCTGCGGGTGGCTGCGGAGGGGAAAGCGCCGCCGCAGCCTGGGCGTCACCGCACGGCGACAGAGCTGCCGCTTCCCGCGGGAGCGCCAGGGCGGCGCGCTGCCTTCCCAGGCCCGCCCGCGGCCGCCAGACGCCCACATCGCAGGCCTGTGCGGGAGGCGGCCCCGAGCCGCCCGGCCACCGGCCGTGCCGCGCCGTGCCGTGCCGCGCCGTGCGCAGCCAGGCGCCGCCACCCCCGCCACGCATGCGCCGGCCATCGGCCGAGGGGCAACGACACCCGCCTCGGGACCGCGGAGCCGACCGGAAGCCGTCGGCCCCGGACGGGAAGTGACCCCTGCGCACTTCACCGACAGCCCCGCCACCAGGGCCCGCTACCCGCACGCCGCTCCAGCCGGCCGCGCGGCCCTTTGTGACTCCTTTGACTGACACGCGGGGGTGGCCAATGGGAGCTACCTCCCGCTTCCCGTCTGGCCCACCTTCTCTCGGGCCATGCCCAATCGGAAGGGCAGAGTCGTCTTCGTCGCCGTCGGCCTTTGATGGATGGAGGCGGGAACCAACCAGGCGGCTGCATGCTAGCCCTGCCCCCGCCTCCCGCCAATGGGCGCTGGGGCATGAAGGCGCTAGCGGGCCCGGAGGAGCGGGTGGGAGGGCGGGCGGGCCGCGCCAGGCGCTCCCGCCCCAGCAGGCCCGCTGCCGCCTGGTTGGGGGCCTCTGCCACGGGCAGCCGCCGCCCCCGCGCCAGGGCAGCCCCGGCGGCGCGTCCCCGCAGCGGCTCCGCTCCCAGCCCCACGTTCCCAGCCTGGATGCGACACGGGGCGGGGAGGAGCCGCCCGGCCGCTGCGTGCGGGGGCTTCTCGCGCTCTTAAGGTGGCCCGGCGGCTCGCCGGCCCGTCCCGCCCTGCCCGAGGACGCCGCGGGGGACCGGCTGTGCTGGCCTCTGCTCGGGGTGCGGGGAGAGCGGCGCGGTAACGGCGACCGACACTACGTCAGGCGGGAGCTGCCTGTGTCAGGGTGGCGTGTGGGGGTGCCCGGCGGCTTCACTGCTGCAGCGGGCGGCAGGGGCAGCGGTGGGAGAGTGAGCCCGCTTTGCCGTCAGGGTGAGAGGGCTGGGGGGGGAGGAGGCCGTTCCTGACCTTAGGTGCTGGGAGTAAGAGCCTGTCACGGGGAGCTGTCACACCGAGGGAACGGCAGGTGGAGACGAGGCGTCTGCCTTCGCAGATGTACGAGTCTGGGCCGGCCAATGCGCCCCTCGGTGCCTGTCCAACCTTTGAAACTCCCGAGCTCCTGGCAGGTCTGGTTGCCACTGGTAGAGACACAGAGCACATAGCCTTTCTTGTAGTCAAGATCCTAAACACGTATTTAAAGCACCCAGTTTTAAACCACCAGTTTTAGCCTCGATTATGTAAGACACATCATTACATGGGACTATACCGAAAAGGGGACAGATACATAATTTCCATATAGTGCTCTGATTTGCGGGACATAGTATGAGCAACTACATTAAATTTATATATGTATATTCACACAAAAATATATAAAATATTTTCCTGGGTAAGAAAAGATTCTGAAAAAAAAAAACAAAAAACCAACCCAACCAGCAAACCCTACTCAGGGAGAAAAATGTGTTAGGATACTTGCATGTTTACACGGGATGGCTGAGATGCCTGTTTACTACTAGTTGCAAATGGAAGGAACAGTACTTTCAGCCAAGATGTGGAAGAGAATTCCTTCCCAAATACCATAAGTTTCAAGGTCCTAACTGCCAAAAACCAAAGCCACCTCCCACACCTTCCTGGAAACCAGAAGCCCCAACTGCCTGCTACCCATCTGTCAAAATTTATAGCTTTCTCTAGATAAATATTAACAATTCAGTAATGCACAAAACCAGTGGCATCTTGAAAAACTGGGAGGATAAAACACAATCTAATGTAAAAGTTATGTGGTGACTAGTTTACTTTTTTTCCCCATGTCTCCATCTGCTATCCTCTATCTTCTATTTAGCTTGCAAAGGCTTTGGGATGGGTCTTTTTGTCCTCTGAATGCTAAATATGATAATGGATCACCATCCACTCACTTCTGTGTGTTTCTGCAACACTGATTCTTTGGCCTGCCTCCCAAGGGCTTTTTTTGTGTTGGATGGCATTTTTGTATTTAAGTTCTTTCAAGCAGTGGAATAACTTAGTTACATATATTTTTTTTTGTTTGTTTATAAAAAGCAGGCACTATTTCAAACATTAATTTTGGAGAGAGGATCCTGAAATCCAAAAGGAAAAATAGAAGGGGAACACACGTTGGCTGCCTGGCACATGTCAAGTCCAGCTGCAGTTTTCCAACACCTCTGCAGCCGTCTATAGATCAAACAACTTGCAGATAACCACCCATCACTGCTTCCCAGCACAATGATGTTTCTGCCTTGTCTCTCAGCAGAGTTAAGAGGAGCCTGTGCACAGTATGGACACAAATCGTAGCTAGAGAGAACTGTAGAACTTTGTGTGGGAATAGCAGGGAGACCCAAGGACCACCTAGCCCAAAGAGAAGTCCGAGGAGAGGCAGAAGGCCAAGGGAACTGGAGCGGAGATGTTTACTGAGGACTGGAGTGGGATTGGGGGAAAAGGCAGAATAGAACAGAGGTCTGCTGTGGAAGTGGGAGGGAGAGATGGTTGTTGGCCCTTGATAACAATTATGAACACTAATGGAATCTGTAATGAGGTTATATGAGTAATATGGGAAAATGGGCAAGAAACCTTCCTTGACAGAGAAAAGAACAGGTAAGTAGCATAGGGAGAGGAGCTATGGCCAGGGCTGCTGGCATAGGAACAGAAGAAAGGTTTGGTGTGGGGGAAGAGGACACAGAGCATCCTGAGAGGATGGAGGTTGAGCATTCATTCTTGTGACTTCCTGAAATGAAGGCATGGGACTTTGGCACAGCTTTGGACCTGCTGAAGGAATGGAAGGAGTCATTGCAGGTACAATGATAAACAAAGCCCTGCAAAAGCAGCAAGTCTTACAGCATCCCCCTCTGCTATCAGAACAACTTCCATATTACAGTTTCCAGAAGGAAAACAAAAAAAATTTACTCAGAAAATGCCATTTTCTCTCAGAACGTGTCCTATCCCCTACTCCAAGCCTTACAGCAGTGTTACCATTTTGAAGGATGCAAATGTGAAACTAAGCACAGAAAAAAGAGATTATCAAATACATGGGGTCTATCAGATAACCGGGGTAGGGACCCCAAGGGAGGCTGTTTCATGGTTGTGCATTTTGGATTTCCGTGTAGAAGTGGCCTGCCCACGACAGTGGCTTCAGATGCGGGGGAATCTTAGGCAGCGCGTGTTCCTTCTCACACACGCATTTTGGAGTATTTCATCTATTTAGTTTACTTCACTGCACACTCCCCCTTTAATGTTGTAAAATAATGGACGGTTGCCTCTGTCTGTGTCCCTAAGACCGGTCTTGCACAACACCCAAGAGGAAACTCCCAGTTTTTAGCCAACTGGGTGAAAGCGGGACAAGACTGTATGCAATTCATCGTTTTTTATATGATTTTAGCTGGTGGTAATGCATCAGAGAGATAGTCATTAGACTGGTTGTGGGGGGAACACTTCTTAGAATTTGGGAATGTTACTGCGATAGGTTATTGACAAATACAAGGGGTGAGGGAAGATTACCAGGGACGAAAAGTTGAATTTTTTAGGGGTGGGAGAGGACTCCCGGCGTCCTAGGCTGGAGCAGGGCACAACCACTGCGTGGGCTGGTGGGCGCGGAGTGGGTCATCCAAGGCAGCGGGCCCGACCCGCGGCAGGGCTGCCAGGCCCGGGCGGCCATTTGGGAGCTGCGTCCCGCGGGTGAGACGGGGAGCGCCCCTTGGCCGGAGGGCACGACCGCCGGGTGGGCGAGCGGCTGTCGCAGGGGTAGCCCGACAGCTGTCGCCGCCAGCTGGGGGGCGGCAAGAGACTGCTGCTGGCACCGGCCTGAGGGGCGAGGGTTCCCCGGGCCGCCGGCCATCGCCGGGGTGAAGCGAGTCCCCGGGCCGAGGCGGGGGCAGGGGTGCCGGGAAGGCCGCGGCACCAGCTGGTGCCGGCGGGCGGGCGGCCTCTCTGGGTGGAGCCGGGCTCGCTCCCTACCAGGTAGAACGGGTGCGGCCCTCGCTGGGCAGCCGCAGCTCCCTCGGACCGGCGCCTCCTTAACCCGGGGAGGCGGGGGCGGCTGCGGCCGGGGGGAGCCGGGGGAGGCGGAGCGGAGGCCGGGGAGGAGCCGGGGCCTGCAGTGGAGCCGCAGGCCGGAGCAGCAGCCGCGGGAGCGGCCGGGCCTGGAGAGACTCAGCGTCGCCTGGCCGGGGCCCCTCCGCACCGGAGCCCGGGGAGCCCCTCGGGGACGAAGCCGAGGCCCGGCGGAAGGCAGCGGAGGCGACCGCTCAGCCCCGCGCAGGCCCGTGAGCCGCAGCGGCCTCCCGTGGTAGCCGGGCCCGGGCAAGAGGAGCTGGGGCCTGGGGGGAAGCCAGGGACTGCCTCCGGGCAGCCGGGGTGGGGGGACACCCCCGTAGCCTGCTGGGGTGGGGGAGAGACCCTGCCCGCCGCCCCCCCCGCCTCATCCGCAGCCGTGAGGGGACACCCCATTGGGCAGCCCCGCTCCCGGCGGGGGTGATCCCCCGGCGGCCCCTCGCCGCCCCTGCCTCGCTGGCAGGCCGGAGCACACCCGCCTGCCAGCCCCCCTTCCCTGCAACTGGTGGGGGAGCTTAACACTTGCCCCTTCCCCACTAACTAGCCAAGGGTGGGTAGAGGCCCCCGGCACCAAGCCCTGGAAACTATCTAAAAGCAGGTCTGCTCTTCCTTGCTGTGGAATAGAGCCTCCTGGTGCTCCCTCAATACCTGTTTGGCGGAGAGGCATCCTCAGACCCCAGTTTCTGAGGGTTGTGAGAATAACCCTTACTGCCTACTCTTCCTTACTACTGAGGAAATTCCTCCCCCAAGCAGAGAAGACAGCCCTTCCCCAACTCTTCCCCAGATCAGATAGTAACAGGGGAGTCTTCACAAAAAAAGCCCCATACGTTCAAGAGAGGCAGTCCCCAAGACAGAAATAAGAAGGAGCTCCAAATACTTACCTAGTAATTTTATTTATTTTTTTTTTTTTTTTTTACATCTGCTTAGCAGGCAGCAGAGAAAGCAAAACAAGGGAGAGAAAGCAGAAGCAGATTTTAGATATTCTTACCTTTTTCAATTGCTGTTAACCATTGGAGGTAATTTCCAATACTGACCTCATCATTCATCCCAAGGAAAATTGCTCATCGCCTAATCCTGAAACTGTTTTCTTCAGATATCCTGTGCAAGGAGAGAAGACACACCTCCCAGATACAGGGAAAGGAAAAGGCAGATTTTGCTGATAATATCCACAGAGATAGCAAAATTTTTTCAGAGAAAGAGATTTGCCTGCCCTTAAAAACAAGGTGCACCTAGGGGAAAGAGAAGAGAGATTTACAGGTAGGGAGACTGGGGAAATCAATCTCTGAAATAATTGACGGTGAAAAGGCTGTCTCCCAGGGGAACACCCCTTTAGTAGTTAGCTGCTGAAAGGGAGAGAGGATCTCTATCCTGGGATAAAACCAGCAGTTTTGGGGGACTGACAGTCCCAAGCAGATCGTTTCAATACTCAAGATCCTGATTTCATCCACAATCCCTTCGGCCCCAAAATATTTCTTGAAGAAGCTCTTGGATTAACTGACAGCAACACTCTGAGGATGGGTCTCAGAGAAGGAATGTGAAGGGCAGCACCCCAGAAACCAGCACTGAAGATAATCCACCTCCCTCCAGAAAATCTCCCTGACAGAGTGAGTGACCACATTATATCACCTCTCTATTCCTAGCTGTCCTCTTTCGCCTTCTGTCCTTGTTTTCCTTGTCTCTTGCCTCACTGTATCTGCTTTCCTTTTAATCTTTACTCTGTTTCTGAACCTCTCCCAGGTTTATTTTTTGGTGTACATCTCTCTCATTTAGATCCCTTATATGCTATATGGAATTGACCGGATTGTTTCCCTCACTGTTTAGCTTATGGGAGAGGGTAGCCCTATTTAATTGTAAGAAACCTCTCTGCCCTTTCCCTTTTACTTTCTTTCATTGGTGTATTAATCTTAGGCTCAGTCTTTATCATCACTGGTATGATAATAATTTCTGTCATATAGGGGTCGTTGAGAAGGATAATACAGGCCATTGAGAAGGAGCAGCGATTTGTAGTGCTAGTGTCCAAGGATGCACCTGTGGGGTTGGAGTGTCAGTTGTTCTCCGTGTGGGTCCTACTATGCTTGTAACAGTGGGAATAAAATCATTGTGTAATGCAGACCTCACTGTGCTTGACAGCCAAATGTACAGATAGATCCCAATGCTAGTACTCTGAGATATGTGTTATAATGTACCTAGGGGCTGTGGGATGAATTCTGAAAAGAGTGCCCTTGAGAGTGGGTTCTGTGGTGCTCAGGGGCCTGAGAATTAAAATTGTGACAGTGCTGGTAGAACCTGTTCTGAAAGCCAAAAGAAGCCATTCCATTGCCACCAGTCTTCATCTCTGCTTTATGCTGTGTTCAGGGGCTAGGAATGTGAATCCTAATGCAAGTGCCGTGGTGAGCCAAGCTGGCTGCTTTTTGTAAATGAGGCAGTTAATTTCCAGTCACAAATGAGTATTCTGATCTTAACGTTTTGATTTCCTGAGAAATCAAGTCTGAGGGAGACTTCACCTCAAATGCAGCCAAAGCAGATACCCGTAACAAAAGAATCATGCCTAAGGATATGTCACCTGAGATATTCCTGTTTCTGTTCTCCAGTGAGATAGCAGTGAGGAAATCCAAGATCAAAGGGTCCTTAGCCAGGTCAGGAACCTTTTTGGAATCCATTTGGGAGCACAGTGGTTAACAGGAGGTCCCTGAAGAAGGAACTTCTTGGTGTAATATGCTAGCAAGATCAGACAAAAGATGCCAGGTCCCTCCAAAGTGAGTCCCCATTTTGGCACAGAATTTTTGACAGTTATCTGTAGCTTCACAAGCTGCCTCTTTCTAAGGGAAGGCTGAACCATGAAGCGTACATATGCTTGGGGGTACTGTTAGATGCCCTCCTACCTGTTGCCCTATAGTTATGCAACCAGCCTGTTTTGAGTACAGCTGTTATCTAGCACAAGGGAAGAGATAACTGAGGCATTTTGGCCTTTGTACATTCAAGGGGGTAACTGACTTTTAATGCTTTTGAGGTTAATTTACCTTGTGCTGCCCCCTTCCTCACAGTAATGACTTGACATTTTTCAAGTGCTTTTGGCTCTGATGGATGCCCGGGCACTTTACAGAATATATGCCAGCCTTCCAAAATTCTGCTTTCCCACAGCAATTATCTCTCTGTATATGAAACATTTTTTTCTTAATTATTTATGATAAAGATTAAGATTTTGTATTTACTGCCTGAGCTTTAAATATTAATGACAGACATACAAGGCTGAAAGTCGTGTGCTGTAGAGTAATTGTTTATTTGTTAATTGCTGACAGGGCATTCAGTGCTGACTTGGACACACAAAATTAAGACAATCTCTGCTCTGAAGATCTTGTAGTCTAAAACACAGCTGTAGAAAAGATAGGATTTACAGATAAATTTAAGGAAGGGAATAATTTTTAGAGTGAGTAGCTCTTCAGTGTGATCATGGTATTTACATCAAATGTTTATCACAGGTGAAAAAGCAGCTTTCTCTGAGGTAGAATACTGCAGCTGTTCTGCACCATTTATTTTATACAAAAGTATCCATAAGAGGAAAAGGGAGAGTGTTGTTTATCATCATAAAAGTGCAAGGTACTTTATAGACACATTTAAATGAAAGTGCAATGAATGTCTTTAAGAGTTTACATTAAGAATGTTAAACCTGAACACCTAAAATTAGACTTTAAAAACCACATTTAGGTACCTAAGTAAATAGCCTAATTCTTCTAAATGCCCAGGAATGTAGATCTGACTTCAACAGAAGCAATGAAGTCTTAAGCATTTGAGTAGAGAGACACTTTATTATGCATGTATGGGTTTGTAAGTTTAAATTTGGATATTCATGCTTCCAAAAGTTGACTTTTTAAGTTGAAGCAGCCTGATCCTCTCCTGTGGGCACTCCGCTCCCATCTGAGAACTGAGCGTGTGGCGTTTCTCAGGTCAAGCCCTTAAGTAAAATGAAATGAGAAGGTCTAGAGATTTATGGGAAAAGGATTGCATTACTGAAAGATCATGAGGTTATATTAGTGCTTAAATAGTGTTCTGTAAGTTCTTGAGTTTTATCTTGAAATCTGGTTTTGTAGGCAAGTTTCTAGGCTAGAATAAGGAGTCAGAGAAGTTGGAATGAAATACAATAAACAGTTTGAGGAGTTTGGATGTAATTTCCCAGTCTGAGATGGGGTTGTGACTACTGTAGTACTTTTTTTTTTTTTTTTTTTTTTTTCTTTTTCTGTAAAAATACAGCTGAATGCTGGTGTCTCTGGAGAAGTTTTTTCTTACTACAGAGGTATGGGTATCTGCTTACTCCACTAAGCTTCAGCTGACCTTCATATAGTGGGAGTTTGTCTGCATCACTCTTTGGATCTTCAGCCATTTACTTCAAGTGTCATAAAGGAGGGTATGGTCAATGGCAACTGTGATATGGACAGCTGTCCCTCAAGAGCAGGACTGAGCTGATTATCTCATTTTACACAGCTGTCAGTCAGAAATTACATCTTGGTCATTAGCAACAAAAAGATTAAATGCTTTTGGACTAATTTTTCCATTTGCCTCTCCCAACCTTGGGTAGAATTCTAACCAGTGACTTTCACAAAGAACCCTCTGTCTTTTGTAATACTCCATTTGCAGAATCTGTTGCTGAGTGATGCTTCAGAATTGAAATTTAAGAAATACTGTTTCTAGCATTTTTGATCTGGAAGACAACTTTGAAAAGATGAGTCGTGCCTAGATTAATGGACCAGCCTGAAATGGTCTCCCTGTAATGTTTGAACTCTCCAGTTGTGTTAACTCTGAAGCCTAAAGAAAAGCATTTAAATATCTGTATTGCTGGCTGTTGCGCATCGTGTTATTTTAGCAAGAATATCCAGTTGATGTGTTCAACCCCTGAATGCTTATTATATTGATAGGGGTCAGTATGGCTACTTTCTATGTATTCTACTGGTTTTGTTTCCTTCTTCCTTCTAAGGGATATAGGATGAACTCAAAAATCTGTAACATATTTCTGCCCTGTACTCATGTTTTCACTTTTAAAGGCAGTCTGTATATCTGTAGTACTGAGAGTGAGCAAGCATGCTGCAGTATGTTTTCACAATTAATTGCAAATTTTCATTTTAAGTTTGAAATGAAAATGCAAAATCCTGGGAATGTTTAAAAATTCAGAGACCTTGCAACAGTTTAGGATTGATTTAATGTGTCCTGTGGTACTTTGCCAAGATTTGGCCTAGACTGTCATTTTATCCTTCAGTCTTTGACCTGCCCTATCCTTTACCACAACTTAGTATGAACCTTAGAGTTAGTGTCCTAAAGGTAGACAAGATTTTTCATGACCTTTGTGAAAGCTTTCCTGAATCCTGTCCTGGGCTTCCTAGCATTGTGTCACAGTCAGGTTCTTCTCCTGCACCTTTAAGGTCCAGCATATTTTCACCCTGCCTGCTTAACTACACCCCATTCCTCCTCCCAGTTCTCTCTATACTGCTCTTTGCATCTCATTTTCCATGCTGTCCCTTTGGCATTCTGTCCTGGGGTCCTATAAGCCTAAAATGCTGCTTCATTCTTCATCAAACAAGCATCCTTCATCTCCTCTCTAGAATTCTTCACTGGCAGGAATCCTTTCTTACTAGAGCTCACAGGCCCTGATCTTACTTCCACACCTGCATTTTCACCTGGTCTTGGTTTGGCTTTCATTAGATTTTATGCTTGTGGACACATAGAATTTTTTGTCTGAGGTTATGTCAAGAAACCTGTTCTTTTTTACCACTGTATAATAAATAGAATTTTAATCCTCTGAAAATAGCCCGCTCTGCTAGGCTGGGGAATGGCACTTTGTCTCCATGATCCATCTGACTAATTCGTTACCCACCCTGCATTCTCCCCTGCCCCCTTTACTTCCCCAGGAATAGAAGGATTTTAGTTGGTTAGAATAAGAAGCCATTGAATTATGTTCTCTGGTTCCTTCTAGTACTTCAGGATCTTGGTTTTGAGAATTAGGGTGAACAATTTGTGCAAGGCCCTGTACCTTATTCCTCATCTAAGATGGTCAGTTTACTTGATGTGAATTCAAGAAATAAGGGAATGTGTGATCTTCTTTGGCCCTTTTTTATGTGTAAGAGGGACTGAGTAATGAGGGAGAAGGGGAGATGATGGGTAAGTTTTTATACCTCAAGAGAAAGTATTTGCTTTTTTGTTTTTTTACAATTAGCAATTCAGATTTTGTTTATGATCTCTGTTGTATAAAGGCTGTGGCTGATTATAGCAGAAATATGTAATTACTGTTAAAAGTTCAAATCTGAATAATTGGAAAGGAATCCAAACTCTTTGTGGTCACAAATTAAAGGAGCAAAGTTTCTGAATTCTGTTTCCCCAAAAAAACTATTGTTAAATAAAACAGAACCAATTCTCCCTCCCTATCAGAAACTTGCAGAGAAAAATGAACAAGCTGATAAAATAGTTACCTCTGAAATTCCCTTTGTCTCTACCTGAACCAAGCAGACAAGCTTTGAATGTAGAGAACTGGTTTGGGATTTTGGAGACCTGTGTTCTCTGCGTGGTTCTGCTACTCCTTTGCTGGCTGACCTTGGGCTGTGCGCTTCTCCATGCATGGCTTCCCATTTATCCTGGAATAAATTATTGATCCTTTATAAGGATTCTAAAATACAAAGATGAAAAACACTTTATAAAGGCTAGCTGTTCCTCTTGCTGTTGATTACCTTAATTACAATGTGATATTGAACTCAAAATCTCTTTATGCTGCTTTGTGTGGCATTAAGAAGCATGATGCCCCAATTAATTTTTGTTTCATAGAGGGACCTGTGACTCCAAAACTGAAAGATTCCATACTATGTCTGTAGCTTAGAACTAATTTTTAAGTTGACTTAAGTATAGATATTCTGACTCCCTTGAAGCTTCTAAGATCTCTGATGACCTTTTCTTGGCCAGGTCTCAGGGTCTGTATTCCATCTTCATCCTTCTTGGCTTCCCTGCTGTTTTTGACACTTGATCATGCCCAGTCTTGAAATCATGTCCTCTCTTAACTTTTGTATCAGTATTTTCCAGGTTTCCTTCCTACTGTTCTAGTAATTCATTCAATAGCTTCTACACTAAGCTATTTACCTTCCTCCATTTGTTTTTTTCATAAGTTAGATGTGAAGACTCACCTCTGGTGTCCTCTCTGGTTTTCTTTACTTCCTTTGTGCTAGCGATACTAAATTATGCAACTTGGCATACTATCTTAATATTCTTTTTGAATGATCTGCTGTAAGTTTAAGATCACTGAGGCCAAATTGGAAGTCCAGAAAGCTCCTTTGAGATTTCCCTTTGTTTCATGCTCTCCTCTGCCGTGAGCCTCCACAGTTGGGCCTGTAACATGGGGTTTCTCTCACTCTTCTTCCTCTGCACATACAGGATAAGGACTCATCTTCCAGTTTCATAGCCTGAATCTCTTTGCTTGCTCTTGGTCTCTTTGGGTAACCCTTATGCTTTCTCCTTCATTTTCCATCTCAGTTCCTGCTAGCTGTTCTTTCTGACCTCTGACAACTGTTACCTTCTTGTTTGTCTTGTTAAAACACAATTTCTGAAGCTATTCTCCTTGTGTGTTTTCTCAGCATGTTGCCATCTCCTTGACAAGCCAGTTCTTTGTCTGTCATCCACCACATAAGGTTCTAGCTTCTTGTACTCACTCTAAGGGGCCTTCAGATTTATGTTTCTCCCCTGTCTGCCACTGTCTTGTATTGTCCTTTGCTGTGCCAGCAACACAAGCATGACATTGTGCTTTTCTATTTCTTGCATGAGTATCCCTTTACATTCTTCCTCAGCTGACTTATACTTCAAAACGTATAAGAAAATTGCCAGACAGTAGATGCCAGACATACTGAAAACTCCTTATTTGCATATTATTCAGATTATTCAAAAGGTCTAACTGATACTCAGAGGTAGTTGTCTTATTATGTGTATTTTCCTCTCCTTGGCTTCTTTTGTAAAGAAGGACGATTACAAAAGTAAAAAAAGATCATCATAATCAAAGGTACAACATCTCAAGGACTAGGAAGGTTAGGGTTGGAGCAGAATAATATTTACTTGCAAGTAAATATTACTGGTAACTGTGGCAAGTATATCTGTGGAAGAAAGGGGCTTCTTTCAGTGTCTCTAAGGAAATGAACAGGAGATTTAATTTGAGGATGATACCCAAAATGGAGCATTTTATGAGTAGGATGCATAAAGCCAAGTACAATACTAGTGTTTTAAGCCAGAACAAACTGTTAATGGGCGTGTGTTCCTTGCTAGTGTGGTTCAGAATCCTCTTGACCTTCAAGCTTGGTACAAATCTTCACAAGTTGTGAGCTTAGCTAGGGATTGTCAGGTGTTTTGTCTACTGGAAGACAGTTCAGTCAGTTCAGCGTAACAGCTAACAGAATAATGAAAAGGAATTATGTTAAAACAGGGGTTGAGACCTAATTTATGAGCTTCACACAGTGTTACTGATCATTCTCCAACTTCAATTTCAGCTGTGCTTTGCTTCTGAACTCCTCTTGAACAGGCTTTTCTGCAGCGCTTTGGTAATCTTAACTCTGGGAGCATCTGCTGTATGCACATTTTGGCCACGTGGTATACAACGAATCTACACTTGATACCAATTTCCTTACTTTCTGTGAGTTCAGTATATAGTTCTTGCTAGTGCTTGATACCCATTTCCACAAGTGGGACGGAATGGGCTGCGGCTTGTTTCAGCAACTATTGCAGAGTTTATATTGACTAATCTATTTTCAGTGGTTCAGCCTTTGGTGAACAGGTTCTGACCACTTGAAGTCAGATTTTCATTTTCACTATGCTTGGCTGGTATTCATTTAGCCCTGGGATCTCTCTTACATAGAAGCTTTGTAGTATGACTATTATTAAACTGCAGGATTAAGAGTAATTTTTGACTGATAGACCCATTTTTTAATGGGAATAAGAATATGGTTTTCATTTATAAGTGCATGTTGCATTCTTTTAACCTGGGTTTCTGTACCTATCTTTGCAACGATGTGAAGATCTTCTAAGCAAGATATCCTGCATGCTGATCTACTTCTGATATCATCTCTAATTTCAGAGACAAGCTGGGTATCATATCAGTGTTTGCATATCCTGTACTGAAGGTTTACTACTGGATATGATTCTGATAGGCAGCTAAAATTGAAATTGTCTTCAACCTAGGTGCTCCCACAAGGCTGGGGAAGTACCTTCTCTTAGATACAGTTTCTCTACCGCAGACCTCCTGGTTTCCAAGGGAATATTTCATTCCAGGTATGTGCTCATAAATTTGAATTATTCCAAAACCAATACCCAATACATTTCTCAGTGTAAGAGTAATTGTTCTGTTAATATTCTTAAAACAAATGCCAAAGATTTCTCTTGCCTGCTTTGGCATGTGTTTAGAATTACAGCTCCTACTTCCTATGATAAAATATTGCATAGCGGTACTGAGGGTGGAGGGCATGCTGTGCGCATTTCTGCTGTGGTGATGTATTTTCATTCTGCTTTTTCAAAGTGCTTGGTTTACTTTTTACTTCAAATCTGTTATTGAGAGGGTTGTCATGGGACATTTCTCTTATTAGTAGAATAAATCTTTTATGGTAGTCTTATTACAAAGAGAATAATTTTTGGCTCAAAAGTATTTTAGGCATACCTGTATTGTGAGTATCATTTGTTGTTTCTTTTGACAGGTGTTAGTATTCCTCACTTTCAGTTACATAGCACCATAAATAAGCAAACAAATCTTAACTTTGAAGATATATTTTCAGACTGACTGAGGGGTCTCTGCAATGTTTGTGTAGTATTCCTCAGTGCATTTTTGCTGCATGTTTATATAGCAGACAACAAAAATTAGTTGGTTTTATTAAAAATCTGGCAAGGCACTAGCTATGCTTAATCCTAGCCTTTTATGCCTGTAAAGATACTGTCTCCCTTGAAACGAGAATATTTTAGACTTTGGCTGTAATGCCATCTGTTGATAAGTTTAAGTAAGCAGGTCAGGTTTTGTAAACTATACCATTTTGTCAGTTTTGTTTAAAACTAGTACATACTACTTTTGGAATTGGATCCTGATGCACTTCCAATATGAGGGTTTTGGTGCTTTTATAGTCCTCACAAGACTTCATGCTTTATTAGTACCAAGGATGCATGTATGGTCGCTGTCATTCATTCACTAAATTCAAAATGCAAAATTAAACCCTGCTCATGTACCTTCACAGAATGGAGAGAATCAAAAGGTCCTATGTTAAAATGTGCTATTATGTTGTAATTAGTAACTTGTGAAAACATTTTTTTTTTTTTTATTTTTCCTCGAGACTTAATATGAACCTTATTGAGATAAATCTCAATAACAAAAATAAATTTTTGTTAAAGGAAAACCATATCTGTATGGCAATTTAATTCTAATGAAACGGTTAGTACAGTGGTTTATATTAAGCTATACATGGTCTAAAAGTTTTCATCTTCTAACTCTGATTTTTCAGTACCATCTTAGTGTACTGTGTTGTAACTTCTAGCAGATTTCTAGTTCAGGATGCCATAATTACTGTACTACCGGTGTTCTTTTACATAAAGTAGCAATGAACATTCAAAGCCATTCTGTCTTGCACACTGAGTAGTTTTGAGCAGTAGTACAGAGTCAGACCACTGTGCAGTGGACAGGCACAGATTGTGATAGTTCGTATTTGTATAGGTGATACCACACTGTGCTCTTAGGTGACAGTAACTTTCTTTGGTTTAATTCTTTTTTCCTTTGTGATTCATGACTAGTGAGAACTGTCTCTCCTATTTGCAAGCCTATAGTTTATTGGGAAAATGTTTTTTGGCTTGTTCTACTGCTCACAAAGAAGGGAAACACAGTTCTAGAGTATGATGATTTCTCTTGCCTCTTTGCCCCTGGGACCGGTTTTCCTCCGTTCATATGGCACTGCAGACAGAAGTGTACTTTCAAACTGCAGGGCTTTTCTTTTGGTTTGCTGAATATATTAACATGACACCTACCACTCCTTCCAGGTCAAGTTTTGTTTTATGAGCAATACCCAGCAGCCTCTTTCTTACTTCTGCATTTGATTCCAGAAACAAACATTTCCTGACAGCTTCTCACAAGTAGTTACCAAAATGATGAATAACAATTTCAGACTATGCAGGTAATCAGTATCCTTTTTTTCTAATTTCTTACATGAAACATGTATTTCTCAGTGAGAATGTTTGCCCAGAGAATACAATATTTTCAAGTGTTTCTTTCCTGCCCTCTTAGTTCACACCTCATTTTTGAGGGAAAGCACATGTCTTAAAACAGCAATTTTCTCTTCCTGCCAGAGTTAACAACATTGATTCTTTTCTCCTTTCTGTATTGGCATAAGAATGCAAGTTTCTTGCATGTATAATTTACACAAGTATGTCAAAATCGCATTTTTCCATCAGCGTAGAAGCTGTCCATTTCTCCATGCATGTGGTATTCTTACATGTTACTTCCTTACTTTTTGAGGCATTCACATTTCTGTTTCAGAAAGGTTGCAGTCAAATGGGTCTTTTTTTTGCCAATTTGTTGGGTTTGAGGTTTTTTGTTTGTTAAATACCTTAGAAGCTAGATGTATATCAGAGTATATTAGATGGATATTTTTAGATCACTGGACCTGTGTTTCAGACACCTAAATAGAAGTGGCCTTCTTTTTATAGGTTCTACAGCAGTGTCTCTCACTGCTTGGTAGTCTGTTGTGCATTTCTTCCTTCTCAAAGTTTATGTTGGGAAACCTACGTTGAGTCTCCTTCAAATGTTTTGCCAGTAGTGTTTCATTGGATTGAAACAGCAGCAAATAAAGCAACAGTGTAAGTAAATATAATAAAGTAAATTTAGAGATTTATTCTAGAAAACGCATCATCTGTGGGCTGTGCACAGTTGTAACTGATTCTGACTGGCCAGCCTTTCAGTTCAGCCTTAGAGAATGTTTCATGCTATAGATGTTTATTAACTACATTCAGTATGACCCTTAGAGTGCTCTTCCCCATATTTCAGTCCTGATACGTAAGTAGCAGTGATCTTGGATAAGATCTGACTGGCTTAAAACAAGCATTTGCAAAATAGCAGGGCAGGCAAAGTACAGATTTCTTCAGCCCAGTGGCAGGGATAGTACTATCTGATAGAGAGAAGGCTGGCTTGCCTGAGGTTTGATTTGCTAGTTGCAAATATTCAGAGCAAGACAGTAGCTTTCCTGGAAGGCTATAGTGAAGTATTACTAGTCCCAAGTGAATTAGGGGTTATTAAAAGGTATTCAGTGCTAGGATTTTCTTTAATGATTGTTTCTTAGGAATCAGACAGATTCTCTTCTGTTTAATTGTTTTGGATCAGAGCTTGGCTGTCATTTTTGCATCTCTCTGACCTGTCTTGACTTGGGGCTGTACAGGAACTAGTTAGTGCTTGAGAAATGAAGACTCTGCCATTAATTTCCAGCTGGAGATGGTGGTTATGACTTGGCTACCTTACCCTTGGTTTTTAAAGTCAGCCAGACACACAAACAGATATCATTTACCGTGTAAAGTGGGAGATTATGGATTCTGGTATTTGACTTTCTTTTTACTTCTTTGAAGTTAATTCTGGCTTGCTAATATGGTAGGATTTTTATTAAAGACCCTTGATTTCAGTTCAATGTGTTTGTTAGTCAGTAGTATATTTTTTTCCCTTTGAGTGGGATCATAAGAGAAGAGTTTGAAAGAAGATTTGCCAAGCAATAAACTGGGAAGGGAAAGTTGGAAGAATCATCAGCTGCTCTGGTTTGGCTGCAGTCTTGTTTTATCATACCATTAAGTAGTGTCAAGCTGGTGTACTGCTTGAATCAGGTGAATGAGATACATGCACAAATTATAGCAAGTATCATAGTAAGTATTCTTTCAAATAATTTAGTAGCCAATTACACCAATTTGTGTTTTCACTCAGTGTTGTGGAATTGCCACCTGCAGGGTTTGACTGCCTGATTAGTACAGATCCCGTACTGCCAGGATACAGACTTATAAATCCAGTAACATGATCAAGTTCAAAATTGGAAAAAAATTCTTATTCCACTGCTTTGAAATTTTCCCATGTGATTGCTGTTGGGTTTGAGTCTTCACTTTGTGTCCTAAATTACTGTCTAGCATACATGTTCTTAAAGAGCTGCTGTATTTTACTGAAAAGTAGTTGTTACAGTACCGGGTGATTAGTGCATATGTATACACGGAATTTTTTAATGTAAGATTTGGGAATTTTGGTGTTTTTTTTTGTCAAAGATTTTTTTAAACGAGGGAATGAAAATAGTCAGATTCTTAGCGTGAGTATAATGTGACCCAATTCTAACCTTTCTTGTCACCCTGACAAGTGTATTTTACACAAATGCACAAAAGCTTGTGTATTTGACAATGAACATACTGCATATGAACCTTACATTTTACTGCATGGCAAATCATCCTAAGTGCTCTACTGACACAACCTGGGCAAATCTGAATCTCTGTGAAAACTGCAGTGTTTTCTTCTGCTTCTTGAATTTCTGGTGTTTCAGATTGGTATCTTAATCTGCCGTAGGTTTTTATAACCTAATTTTCTTGATTTCTGTGCTTGTCTGAAAAGGAAAAAAAAAAAATAAAAGGAGTGGCTGGGAAATCTGTGTTTATTTTACTTTGGATTTTTATTGTTAGCGCAACTGATTTTTTCATAATGGTTTAACATGCATATGATAAGCAGCAGTAATTTGTTACTTGATTGCACTATGAAAATTAAGATTTATTCGAGTCACACGTATAAAATTAAGCATTCAGCTGATACTTAGTTCATGTTTGTTTTCTCCCAAGTTGAATGCTACTTTTAGTGAGAGCTGTACCCCCTAAAGTTACCATGCAGATATAGCTGTGTTTCTGTTACATGGATACCTCAGCAGTCTGTCCATCCCCACTGGATAAAAATACATTGTTGTTTTTTGCGTGTGCAATTCAGGAAGGAATAGTGCACTTCTTACATTTTAAATGTTTGCGATTAGATCAATTCAACCATAGAGCCCTATATTCAGTAGGCAACAACTTGAGGAGGGTGGATAATGGAAAACCGTTTGCAGCTCTGATTGTCTAGTTAGCTGTGTAGCAAATAGTCATGCTATCATTTGTGAGTGTGGCAGATGAGTAGATAGATAAGTTAGCAGCAGTTGGGCTTTTCCTTTCCTCCACAGACAGAAAAATGTTTCCACTTGCTACAGATGCTGTAGTGGCGCTTTCAGTCCGTGCGTGCATATGAGTGTTAGTGATAATGGTAGCTGTGCAATTAGGAGGGGTTTTCTGAGCCCAGGGCTTTGGACCACTGCTTATGGTGGTTGAGGATTGGATTTTGTTGGGGTATTGTGTAGGTATTTGAGCCTTAAGAGGTGTGATGAGCACATGGAAGAAGATTAAGGGTTTAGTGCATACAAATGTGTTGGAGTATAGACTCTTTAAAGTGCTTTTGTGCTGTGAGAGCACTTCAGTGCAGGAGTGCAAGGTATAATGCGTATGGTTGTGGGGGAAGAATGTGGAGCTTCTGTGTCAAAGTGCTGGGTGCATCTGTTTCTGTATCTGTGCATCCACACTGTGTTATTGTCAAATACCTATTTTTAGAAGGAGTATCTAATTGATATTCATGCAGATGGGTGTCTCCCTGTCTCATCCGCTCATCTGAGTGATGCACTTGGTGGGAGGTGTCTGCTGATGAGTCTTTCCTAAGCAGAGCGTGTTCATATTGATATGTTCTCTCTTACATATATTCATGTGTTTAATTTATTACATGAACATGTACATAAGTATGTACATGTGTTTGTGCGTTTACCTTTTGTATGCCCTAGCATGCTCAAAGGTAGTATAATCTCTAAAAAGATTAATTTAAAAAATGAAAGACACAGAACATGCTGCCCTTAAAGACATGATTCTTCTCTTTATGCAAAGAATAACTATAGAGCAGTGAATGTTGTGGCGATGAAAACTTATCCACCTCAGTCCAGACTTCAAGGGATTGCTCCTAGTACAGTGATGCAGCCAATTATGAGTAAGAATTATGACCTTTCTGCTGCCTTGACTAGTACAAAAGACAGCATACAAGGTTGCGTGCTAAGTGTACAAGTTCCTACAAGTTCATGCTGCTAAATATTTTCTTCATATAAAATTACTGTTAAGTAGAAAACCCTGGGTACAAGTGCTAGCCATGTTCGACAGGTGTGTTTTATTTTTATGAGAGGAAATACATGTTTATGAGAGGGAAGATCCTGAGTCTGTTTCCACCCTGTAGCAAACATATTGTGTGACTTCGGACAAGTAAGTTCTTCTTGTCTTAGGTTTGGAGAAAACACTTGCCTGTTATATTGTGAATTAAGCAAGATTTAATTCAATAAAATATGTATGTTTAGGAAAAATGGGTTGTGCTAGGCAAAGGTTTAACTATTATGAGCTTAATATAGTCTGTTCCACCTTAACGTGGTAGATGTAATTATCTATATATAGTATTATTCATGATCTTGGTGTTTTAAAATGAGATATGTAATCCTAGCTCTAAGGAATAGGATTCATTATAATGTCACCCAATGCAAAAAGAGAGGCTAGGCCTTAGAGAGAAGTTAATTTCCCCCCAAATTAAGATAGTCACAGTCCTGACTTTTCCAGGTGATCTAATTAAATTGTGGTTTGTATATGGCATGAAGGAATATTCCCTTTCAGCTATGATTTTCCTCTTCTCTGACACAGTAAACCTACTGGATTTAGAGGTAATCTTGGTGAAAGGTCCCAAGGTCATATTGCTTATGTAGTAAAGGAGTTAATGTGATACAGCCTCTGAAAAGGGCCCATGTTGAATAGATCTTAGTTCTTTACCTGTGAACAGCTGGGATGCTCTGGACAAGACTGTCCTGTCCCAGCTACTATTGGCAAGGATGGTCCTCCCAGAGACACAGTCATAGGTCTTTTTGGATGATTCTGTCTTGCTGTGAATAAGCTATATGATATAGGATGATCTTCACACAGGTATTTGTGGTAGGGGGAGAAGCAGAGGAGGAATGCAAATGGGTGTTTCTCTTCTTAGGATTCACATTTTTTGTCTCTCAGGAGTTCCCTTTCTGCTCTTTTCTCCTCACAGATACTCCTGCTTCCAGCATCATGGCCTCTGACCTGGAAAGCAGCCTCACTTCTATAGACTGGCTCCCACAGCTTACTTTAAGGGCTACTATTGAAAAATTAGGGGGTTCCTCACAAACAGGACCTCCAGGGGCTGCCCGAAAGTGTCCCCCAGGCTCACCAACAGATCCCAATGCCACCCTGAGTAAGGATGAGGCTGCAGTGCACCAAGATGGGAAGCCACGTTACAGCTATGCCACTTTGATCACATATGCCATCAACTCATCACCTGCCAAGAAGATGACGCTTAGTGAGATCTACCGTTGGATCTGTGATAACTTTCCCTACTACAAAAATGCTGGTATTGGTTGGAAGGTGAGGACTTACATCGCTGAAGTACCCTTTTTGTCTAATTACAAGACTTACTTTCTTAATTCTGTGTAAAATATCCTCAGTGAGCAAAATAAAAAGACACATGTGAAACCAACTGGAGAAAGTGCAGAGCCAGCAGTCACATTTTCTCTGAGAATTTTGTTGTATGTATGTGGTGGCCCCTGAAGGAGGAATATGCAAAAAACCCACCAACAACCAAGAGAAACAAAACAAACATCCCCACAAACCCCACATCACTACCAACCTCTGCATTACACTGGTACTATTTTCACTGCACCTTCTGTAGGTGTATAGGTGGTTCAGCCCCTTGTTATTCAGCCTAATCCATCTCTCTCATTTCCACAGCTTCTCTTCTGGGTATGTGTAGTGAGCTCTGGCTTTTGCGTATGCACCATCCTTCTATTTTCTCTACCCACTCCTGGGCACACTCAGAAGGCTGTATGTTTTTGTTTTAGCACTTACCTGTATCTCTTACTCTCTCATCAGAACTCTATTCGTCATAACCTCTCTCTGAATAAATGTTTTCGGAAGGTGCCTCGACCGAGAGATGATCCTGGGAAGGTAAGAAATCTGCATGCTGCTGGGCAAGCAATTTAAAACTGCAGGGAATAAGCCAGGGGTTGCCCTTTCTAACTCAGGGTTGGAATTTGAAACCTAAAGTGCAGGCAAAAATGGAAGCAGTAGTAAGATTTACTGCAGTGCTTTGGCTACAGAAGCATTCACTTAAAGGGAACCTGTAAAGGGGCCTTAAAGGTTCTAGCAATTACTTCTCTTGTCTGTGATCTTCAGTTGACTTTAAAGGTACTGGGAGAAGGAAAAAAATGGGGTTGAATGTAATTTGTTAGTTTTGTTTCTTTTTCTTCTTGATATTTATGTGTAAAATGTGGGTCTAGTTCAGCCTGTTCTGTTATGAAAGACCATAATGACTGCTGGTGAACAGCAGGACTATGATGTGACATCATGGATTTCGTGGAGGCAAGATCCATGAAAGCGAGAGCAGGACTACTACCTATTTAGACTGCAAAACATTTGGTATTGGGAAAAAAATGTCACCATCAGGTAGTTCAAATCTGTAGAAATCATTTACAGGTAAAACTCAAGAATTTAGGAATTCGCTGGCTAAGTAAGGGCTAATAAAGCTCTGTTAGTATATATAGATTGTAAAGGGGAAATGATAGCAAAACCAAGACTTGGTATCTTGGCATGCAGATATTATTACTGTTTAAAAAAAAACCAAACAAACAAGCATAAGGAGATGGTGAGGTCAAGAAGCTATGTATTTTGACAGAAAGATTGTCTCCTCCCCCCCATCCTAAAGTTACCAGAACGGGCCGCTTGCTCAGGCTGTTTAATTCTCAGGTTATATTTAAAGGACTAAGTGGTGCTCAGTTGATGTCTATAAATGTAAGTAGTATATCTTTGAAGATCACTGCTCAAAAATACCATTGATTATATGGCTTATTCCAGGAAATCCTAGCTGACTTCAGTGTATATGTGTGCTGGTGTTCATTGGCTTGTTGGAATGGGTTTATAATGAAAACCTGTCCTGTCCTTGTCACTGATAACTCAGATTTCAGCTGGAGGTTAAGATGAACTAAATCACACTCTAGAGTTCTCTCTATACTTATTCAGAAAACAACAGACATAATTATAGACTATTTTATGTTTAAAGGGACCTCTGGAGGTCAACATGCACCCCCATCCCCCTCTCAGACAGGGACAATTAGTTTGAGTTGTTGAGGTCTTCGCTGAGTTTTGAATATCTTCAAGGATGGAGATACCATAACTGGGCACTTGTTCCAGTGCTGCACCACCATCGTTATGAAGAAATTTTTCTTCATATCCAATTGTAATTTCCCTTGCTCTAACTTGTTTTTGTTTGCCTCTTGCTCTTGTGCTGCGCGTTTTTGAGAAGAGTTTGATTCTTATTTATAATCTCCTTATGCTATTGAAGGCAGTGGTTAGATCCCCTTGCCCTTCTCTTGTCCAGCACTAAACAGATCTCTCTGTGTGAACTGCTTGCACATCATGTGTTTAAGTTCTTAACTATTGTGGTGGTCCCTCTTTGGATGCATTCTAGCATGCCAGTGTCAGTCTTGCACTGGGAACCCCCCAAATGGGCATAGTACAGTGGAGTCTCACAAGCATGGAAAAAGACCTATACTTCTAGCTGTTTTTTGCCCAATCTGAACATTGAATTGGTTCTCATCAGTCAATAATAAATTAACGTTGTGAGGAAGGTACTGAAGGGGATGTGCAGACCCAGAAGAATTAGCCTAGCTTGGATCAAAACATCCTTTGTTCTTCTTGGTGTCCTGTCTTAGAGCGATGGAAATGTAGAGCATTCTGCCTTCCACCAGTAGCATCATACCTCCTTGTTCAGTACAACCCAAGGCAATGGGTCTTTCTAACACGCAAGTCTCAGTTGTCTGACGTTCTGGAGGGTAGACCTTGTGGTCCTAATGTTTAGTTAGTGCTGCATTCTTTGAGTCAAAAACCCCCTGCTTTAGGAAGCGCTCCGATTTAATCGTGCATTCACCAGTGTGTCTTCTTTCCAGGGCTCTTATTGGACAATAGATACGTGTCCAGATATATCTCGCAAGAGGCGGCATCCTCCAGATGATGATGTGAGTGTTGGTCTTTCCAGACAGCATGGAGCAGGAGGGGGAATTCCCTTCTTGTGTCAAGGAGTCCTTCCAGCACCATACCGTGGTAGCGTTTGGGGGGCAGGGTGTACAGGTGGAGAGACGAAGGCTCCTAGCCTTTGTCCATACGTGAACTAGCACGTATGTCCTGCTGATTGGCTGTTGTTGCTGCTTTTCAGTAGCAAAGTTAATCTTGTTTAAAGTCCCTTATCCTGACTCTCCAGTGACTAAGGCCCAGTCCTCCTCTTTTCTAAGCCGTGAACCCCTACAGCGGGGTTGCTGGCTTCCCATCTGCAGTTTCACTTCTCCATATGTTTTTGATTTCTGCTCTTTTCCTTTTTTCTTTCTTCCCCATCCACAGATACCACAAGACTCCCCAGAGCAAGAGGCGAGTAAAAGCCCCCGAGGGGCTGTTCCAGTCAGCACAGAAGCCTCTTTGCCACCTGAGGCCACCTCTCAGCTGTCGATCCAGAGCACCACCCCCATTGCCAACTACACTCAGGTGAGCAGCAGGGGGAAGGATAGAAGCCTCATGGCATGGGAAAAGGAGAGGGGGAGGAGTGCATGAATGGAAAAGTGAAGTGGTGCGAAGAGAGGGAATCACGAAAATGATACAGAGGCAAAAATAAAAGGAAGGGAAGATGCTGAAATTGTAGAGCAGAAAATAAAGAGGAAGTGACTTGTAAAAAAAGGCTGGGTGGGGATAAGGGTAAAGGCGCATGCCAGCGTGCTGCAGAGGGAAGGTCGTGGTTGATTTTCCTCAAGGAAAGTGGCATTTGGGAAGATGATTGTTGGGAGATGAGCTAAGTGATATGGGATATCAGTGCATGTTCTACCTGTATCTAGTGTCTGGATTCCTGTCTCAAGTTACAAAACCTAGTACAAGCTAAAAGCCTTATTTCTGTCTTCCTTAGCAGAGTGCAGGGCCTGTGGATGTTGCCTCTACTGTAGCAGGGGGTCAGGGCCGTGAAGGGGCCGATGTGCCACCACCACTGTACAGTGCCAACCATGACTTCAAGTTCTCCTACTCTGAGATCAACTTCCAGGATCTTAGCTGGTCCTTCCGAAATCTCTACAAATCCATGCTGGAGAAATCATCTTCCTCTCAGCACGGTGAGTAACTATATGCGTCATGTGGGGTGGGCAGGTATCTGCCCACACAGTCTTGTCCACTGATCTATCCTTGGTATCTCTCAGATCTTTCCTCGTTTAGGAGCCTGTGCAAACAGACTTTTCTTCTTTGGCATGCTGTAATTAGTTCTGCCAGGAGCAGATAAGAAATCTGCATGTCCTTTATCCCCCTAGTTCTCTCCAAATAAAGAGGATAATGATTTAAAAATACCTTGTGTTGATACAAAAGCAAATACTAAAATGGCAGAAGCTTAGGGAAATGAAGTCCTGAAGAAAATATACTGGAGAAGCATTCACAATGCCAGGCTAGAAACCATAAGAGGGACAATATTGCTGCATATGGAGTTTCTCCAGAAGGAGAACGGAAAGTCATCATTGCTCAGATTTGTTAAAACTAGGATTGTACAAGGCCTTTAAGAATTGAGTGTTGTGGATTGAGAGCATGTAAGAGAGAGTTTACGACTCCGTTGGTAGCGTTCATTTCTGGGACCAAGGGAGCAGCCACCAGAGGGCAGAATGGCCGTAGGGATGAGGTGAGATGTCCACAGAAAACACTTCAGTTGTTCCCTCCTTTAAACACTTCTAAATATTAGTCTGCTGTAAAAAGGAATATATTACTAGGTGAGCTCCTCACCTATGCTGTTAACCGCCATAGAGTGCAGGCAAAGTTTGCTACTTTAGGAGGAGCCTCCTGCGCTTGTAGCTTCAGTGAAATAAAAATGTATTACTTTCACTGTTTTCATCATGCTGGCACTTGAGATTCCTAGCAGGACCATGTTGTGTGAGGTGTTGTAGAATGAGCAAGCTACAAAAACGTAGAGAAGAACCTTGGCAGAGTGTGTGCCTCTGTAAAAGCTTAGCAGTGGCATGTTTTTTTTTTATCCTCCCAAGTCTTCAGCTGTAGGGTAGTCTAGGAAAACTTGCAGGTTCTGAAGAAATTTTGTGGGCAACTTTTGATTTAGGATGGAAGTATCTTTTGCCCCATCACAGTAGTGGGATGAAATTGGATCTAGTGAAAAATAAATTAGTAGCCCAAATTAGTGGTATGCAGTGCCTTTCACTGTGATTTTTTTTTTTCTGGAGATTCTACAACATGAGGGGAGAACGAACTGTGGAAACACAGAGATATGCTGAGCTCCTGATGTGGGGAAGAATGGAGAACACCTGATGCTCTTGCATGTAGGGGATGCCTGAAATACAAGAGGATAGAAATGGCACACGCAATGAGTCAGGAGCAATGAAAGTAATAAAGGAGCCCTCATGTGTGCAGTGTGCTCTGTGTGCAAAAGCAGCAGAATTTGTGACCTCTCATGATCCGTGTGAGAAAAATTGTGAAGGTTCCCAATTACACTGCTCGTAAGATGGGAACTGAAGGGAGCTTTTGAAAACAACACCTCAGATTTATCAAGTTACCCGTTTTCTAAACATTTTGTTGTTGTAAGTTTGCTTAATGGACACTTCTAGGAAAACAGCATGTGCATGATATTTCAGGAGAGCATGGGTTGCTTTGGAAAATGTAGAAAAAAATCCAGGGAGGAATTTAAGTGCCTAACTCTGTCCTAGAAGTTTATATCCTGATGGGGCTTTGTTGCAGAGCCTTTTGTTTTGAACAGAACCTGGAGCATGCTGAGGGCATAACTGGCAGGTGATAGTTGTTGGTAGCCTGTAGAGGGCACTCTGAAAGCTTCATATACAGCAGGAGGAGCAGTGTGAAATTAGAGATGGATAATTTAAGTGGAGATCTGGTCCAGGCAGCATTTAAAGCTCTCCTCTCTTTCTTTTACTTGCCAGGTTTTTCTTCTCTCCTTGGTGACATGCAGCCCTCCAACCACAACTACTACATGTACCAGCACCAGCAGCAGCAGGGTCCCTCATCAGTGGGTGCTGCTCCCCCTCTGCACACTCCAACACCAGAGGGTTGCCCATCCCAAGGGGGAAAGCAGCAGGGTGGTGAAGGTTACGGCCCTCCACCAGTGATGTCCATGCACCCACCCCCAATGCAGCATGGAGGCTACCACCAGCATCAACAACATCACCCACACTCCCACCCACAGCAGCAGCCACATCAGCACCAGCAGCAGCAGCAGTCACAGGCTTCAATCAACAATGCTGGCTTTGGTGAGTCAGGCGATGGAAAGAACATTGGGACAAAAGGGAGCAGTGAGGAGCGCCCAGATAGAAATTCCACAAGCGAGATTTCCCTAAGTAGTGCCTACATTATGTGGAAAAAAAGATGGAAATCCAGTTATGATTGAAATCTGAGGGGGAAATTGCTTACTTACTGAAGGAAAGGTGGATACATCCATGCTGGGTTTGGGATTCTGTTTAATGGTACAGGATAAAGTCAGGGGCTGAATGCAAAAGGAGGCACCGTGCCTGATCTTCCAAGAGAGAAAGGGTTTCTAGCTACTTGTAGCATCAGGCTGTTCAGTGAAGAGGGGCCAATCATTTTATATTAAGGGGTGGAGGGAAAGGGTGGTCTGTATTGGAATAATCTTGTCCCCATTTCATTCCAGCATTTCCCCCTGACTGGTGCTCCAACATAGATTCCCTGAAGGAAAGCTTCAAGATGGTAAACCGGCTGAACTGGTCTAGCATTGAGCACTCCCAATTCTCAGGTCAGTGGTGGCCTAGTGACTCAGTGACTAGGGCTTTAATGTAGAATTTGTGAGTGCTGTGCCCACATCTTTTTTTCAGTGTAACTGTGTCAAGTCCGTGGGTTACTTTTCTGTTTATAAAATGAGGTGTCCTACTTCAGGGGTTCTGTTAAAGACCCTGAAGCACTGGAACACCGCAGGAATTTGGGGCAGGGGGAATTAATTCATAAGAGTATGTCAGAAAGCTAACTGAAATTTTTCCCTCCTACTCTTCCCTTCCCTACCTGAGTCAGTGAGACAGTATCCTAGATATGGAGCTTGCCAGGAGTTTGGTGACAGATTCGAAGCGATGAAGTTGGGTTTGTGGGGAGAAGGTAGGATTTAGGGGTAGAAGACAGAAACTCTTTGCAGGGAAGACCACAGTGTGAGTGCTGTCTTTGACATTGTCCTTTGACCCCTCCAGAGTTGATGGAGAGTCTGCGTCAGGCTGAGCGGAAGAACTGGACGCTGGATCAACACCATATTGCCAACCTCTGTGACTCCCTTAATCACTTTCTTACCCAGACTGGTCAGCTCCCTCATCTGGTTGGCCCACAGCAGCCACCTCGAATCTCTGATTCTTGTGCCCTGAACAGTGGCAAGCAGGAGCAATCCTTGAACCAAGGTAATTAGGAGGGAGACAAAAGTGGCGTGTAAATGAAGGCCCAGTTCTGCGAATATCCAAACCTACTTGCAGCTTTGCCAGGCAATGTAGCACTGAGCTACTCAGGGCTAGGCTGTTGGACCTCTTTGTACAACTCTGCTTTCTCTGGCTTTAAAGCGTTAGGATGTCCTAGGTCTGTGGCCTAGGTAGACCATTACCTGATGCATACCATGGACAGGCAACCTCTCCAGGCAGAAACACATTTAAAAGGTAAACCCATAAAAGCAGAAGGGGGTGGTGTTTTTTGTAGGTGACCAACAGAAAGGAATGGCAAGGTAGAGAGAGTGCTATTCCAGATGGCAGAAGCTGTAGGAGGTGTAAAGAAGAAAGCTCTTACAGCTGTGTTGGAGAAATACTGACTGGACAAGGAGTAGGAGAATGCACTCTGAGGAGAACACAGGGGATACCATGGTCTTGATAGAACTGTGATGGTGTGTGTCATCTAGTCGTAAATTAAATGGATGATATTGAGCCAGCTTGTGGCATTTCTGGATGAAAATTTTCTTGTTTTACAATAATAGAGAAACTTCTGCTGGTTCCAGGAACAAGATCCCTGACCAAGGTATAGCTTGCAGTTAGGACCCAACAGCTGAACATTTCCTCAGTATCTCGTGGGTCTGAGTGAGTTGCTCTGTGGCTGAGCTGCCACCCCATCAGGGCCAAGACTGCTGACCAGAATGTTAACAGACTTTTTTTTAATTTTGATTCCTTTCACAGTGAACTCCTATGGTCAGCCCCAGCCTCCCCATCTCTTCTCCGGGCCATCTCCAATGTACCAGATTTCCACCCAGGACTCTCCAGGATATAATCGCCCAGGTAGGGGGTGACATTAAGGCATACCAAACCAACGAACATTAAAGAACTGGTTCCCAAGCCCTTGGCACGCTTCTCCCAAACCACTGACTAATCAAATGGAGCACTGAGAGTAGAGAGGGAGCCTGGACTGCAAGGGACCTTCCGTTTAGGACTCTGCAATAGCTCTGGCAAGGTCTAGGTTTTCACTGGCCTGATTTCTTTCACTTCACATAAATAGTCTTCTAGCTCAGCCTCACCCTCGGCTGCTTGAAGGCAACTTTACATGAGAAGCTTTTGATGAAGTGCTTTGTGCTCTATCAGCAGTCAACTGTAAGGAAAGTGAAGGAAGCTGAAACTTAATCTCTGTAGAAGCTGCTGTGGAGAATTTCACAGCAGATCACCTACAGACATTGGCAGGTCGTGGCTGATGGAGAAACTCATGCTAGTAGTGTTCTTGCTTGCTAGACTGTTGGAATGGAGAGGGCCCAAATCACTTACGCTTTTTTTTTGCCCAAGGGCCAACTGTGAAAAAGCATGGCGTTTTTTATTCTAACTCTTCTCTTTCCTTTCTCTTCTGTTCTCTTGTTTTTGGCTCAGCTCACCATCTGGTCCCTCGGCCTCCAGGGCCTCCTCCAGGCGCCAATGAGGAAATCCCTGATGATTTCGACTGGGACTTGATCACCTAGCGAGTTACAGACTTGATAGCCCGTCCTTTGTGAAGGACGTGGGAGGGAAGGGGGACATGGGGTCAATGGTGCCAGCATCACCCTCCCCAGCCTCCCTGCCTTGCCTGTATATAGATATATATTCTCTATCTCTGCCAGAGAAGCCACCGCAAGATGCTGCCGAAGATAATCCTTCCTTGCGTCCTGTTTTATCTTATTTTTCTTCTTTTGTTTATTATTATTATTATTGTTATTATTATTATTACCAGTAATTGAGCACAGCCCTCCCCCTCCTCTGGTGGCCTCAGACGCATCAGATCGGCTCTTTCGTGTTGCGTGGTGCCCTGTGGAGGGCGGGAAGATGGGTCCTTGGTGCCATGAAAAGACCTCGGAAGGCTGAATCCTCAAGTGCATCTTTCTCTGCCTCCGTCATTTTGCGTTTAACAATCCATCTTTCTCTTCAAGGTGGCCGGTGAATCTGTTGTATTGGCTACTGGAGTGGGAGAGCCTAATGGACCCTGGGAGCCTGTAGTTCTGTTGTTCCATAAATGTTGTAAAGGTCAGGGGGCTAAAGGGACACTGGAGGGGTGATCTTAGCTCTGTGAACTTTCTTGCACCAGCAGGAAAAGCAAGAAAAGAAGTAGAGTTCCCAAGTACAAAGAGAGGGTAATCCCTGAGGTAGGGAGAGCTGAGCTGTGAGGGTAGACCTGCATTTCGAGAAAGGAGAATGCAGCAGAGATGAAATTTCAGCAGAGAAGCTGGGCTTCAGAATGCGGCGCCATCTGTGGGGACTGAGATTTTGAGGGAATCCTGACCTATTTTCTACACTGCCTTTTGCAGCCTCCAGGTGAAGCCTACACATCCATCAGGTAAAAGAAGCAGTCAGGGGTGTCACATGATTCAGCAAATTCTATTCCCCAGAGCTTTTAATTTCACCCCCCCCCCCCCACCTCTTCAAGCCCTTCTTCAAAATACGTAGTGAAGCTCTTACTTGCATATGCAAATTTGGAAGTTTTCTCCCATCAGTATTTGGTTAGTTGTTATCTGGCCCTGCACCCCTCCTGTTTCTCTGGAGACTGTCCTTGCCCGTGGTTTGAGAGTGCCCAGCAGCAGGAGCCTTGTTGCGCAGGTGCAGATTCTCAGTCAGCGGTCCCCACTTTGAGAAGGGGCTAGTGGTGGGCAGAGGAAGCTGTTGCTCGGTGTGGAGGTGAATTAGGAGACTTGTGGTCAAGGGGCTGCACCCTCTGGTCGAGCAACTGGGAGGCCCTCAAAGTGGTTTTTCTAAGAGGTGCGTTAGAAGAGTGAGGATGAAGTGAGACAGATTTTTAAACTGAACAGCCAAAGAGTGTAGTATAAAAGGGAGGAGGGTGGGTCAGACCCCTTGCAGTTCAGCTGGGGAGATGATGGAACCTGGTGTCAATCCTGAAGGATGAGTTTTGTCGGCACTTGCGAATCAGGAAGGTGGAAAAGGTGCAGGAGCAGGAGTGTTGAGATGCCTCCTCCCCAAAGCTGTGTCCTGTGTTCCCCTTTTTTTCTGGTATGGCTCTGTTCTGTCAGACCTCTTGTTTCCTCTTAATATTTTGTAAAGCCTCCCCCCAGCCCTTACTCCCTGTTTACCAGTGAAGGGAACCAAGACGTAAATAGAACATCATGGCCACTTGGCAGGCCTGGGACGGGACTAATAACCTCTACTCTGACTGCAGGAAGGTGGGGAACTAGCACTGATGCTTAAATTTGTTATGGGAATAAACCAATTGGATCTTTGTCAGGGAAGTGGACAGAGTCCCATTGTATTGGGCGGGGTGGACGGAAAATTGTTTTGTTTTTGTTTTTGTTTTTTTTTTCTTTTTTAAGTGTGTTTTGGGGGGAGTTGATCATTGAGTGTTTCCAAAAGAAATGGCGAATCTCAGACTACTTCAGCGTGGAGTTAGCTGTTTTCTCTGCTGCCTCAGGATGGGAATGATACAGCTTGGAAGCATGTACAATAGGTTTCCGTGGAAAGTGGCACCAGAGACAATGTCTGGTAGGTGCCAGCTAGTGCTTTGTAGAGGATGTTGCTGAGAGCAGGCCCTGTGGAAGTCTGAAAACACCACTGGAAGAAAAACAAACCAAGATGGTTCCTTCTGCGTATCCAAGTGCTCCTCATTTGCATATTTGACTCATTTGCATATTAAGTTGCGCCTCGATTGCATATGTAAATACATGCCGGTCAGTGTGCAAATTAGCCCCATTCCTCTGCCCCTGAAAGAAACGTGCATTGTTAGTCCGTGGGAAGGCATCGGGCGGGCAGCGTGGAGCTCTGCAGGCAGCGTGGGTGCTGGCCTGCAGGGAGGGGGGCGCCAGCCTGGCCCCGGGAGGGTTCTTGCAGGCCCCTCCAGCGTGGTGTGGCCCCCGTGCTTCGTGTCCGTGGTCAGGGGGAGAGGGGCGTGGTCTCACGAGTTTATTTTTGTGCATGCTTTCTTAATAAAAAGAAAAAGTGAATGTTTATGGTTTAACTCTTTTGGTGCCAGCATTGAATTTTTTTTCAGCGACGCCCGTCAGGTGGGCTTGGTTCCCACCTGCTTGCCTTAGAAACACAATTTGGGTGTGGACATCCCGAAATTAACAGCCCACACTGTGGTGGGTTGACCCTGGCTGGACACCAGGTGCCCCCCAAAGCTGCTCTATCGCTCTCCGCCTCAGCTGGACAGGGGAGAGAAAACACAACAGAAGGCTCGTGGGTCGAGATAAGGACGGGGAGATCACTCGCCAGTTACCGTCGCTGGCCAAACAGATTCAACTTGTGGAAATTAGTTTATTACCAATCAAATTAGGAGTAGGGTGTAGAGTAGAAATAAAACCAAATCCTAAAAACACCTTCCCCCACACCCCTCGCTTCTTCCCAGGCTTAACTTTACTCCTGATTTTCTCTACCTGCTCCCCCCCAGCAGCACAGGAGGACCCGGAATGGGGGTTGTGGTCAGTTCATCACCCCTTGTCTCTGCCGCTCCTTCCTCCTCAGGGGGAGGACTCCTCACACTCCTCCCCTGCTCCAGCGTGGGGTCCCTCCCATGGGAGACAGTCCTCCAGGAACTTCTCCAATGTCAGTCCTTCCCACGGGCTGCAGCCCTTCACAAACTGCTCCAGCGTGGGTCCCTCCCAGGGGCTGCAAGCCTTCAGAAACAGACTGCTCCAGCGTGGGTCCCCCATGGGGTCACAAGTCCTGCCAGGATCCTGCTCCAGTGTGGGCTTCCCACAGGGGCACAGCCTCCTTCAGGCACCCACCTGCCCTGGCATGGGGTCTTCCGTGGGCTGCAGGTGGGATTGAGTGCACCCTCAGCAAGTCTGCCCACGACACCAAGCTGGGTGGTGCAGTCGTTATGCTGGAGGGAAGGGAGGCCATCCAGAGGGACCTCGAGAGGTGGGTCTGTGCAAACCTCATGAAGTACAACAAGTGCAAGGTCCTGCACATGGGTCAGGGCAACCCCACGCACAAATGCAGGCTGGGTGAAGAGTGGATTGAGGGCAGCCCTGGGGAGAGGAACTTGGGGGCAGTAGCGGGTGGAAAACTGCCTGTGAGCCAGCAATGTGTGCTTACAGCCCAGAAAGCCAACGGTGTCTTGGGCTGCATCAAGAGAATTGGGGCCAGCAGGTCGAGGGAGGGGATTCTCCCCCTCTATTCTGCTCTCATGAGACCCCCCCCTGCAGTGCTGGGGCCAGCTCGGGGGCCCCCAACATAAGAGGACACGGAGCTGCTTGAGCGGGGCCAGAGGAGGACCACAAAGATGCTGGGGGGGCTGGAGCAGCTCCCCTGGGGGGCCGGGCTGAGAGAGTTGGGGGGGTTCAGCCTAGGGAAGAGAAGGCTCCGGGGAGACCTTACAGTGGCCTTCCAGTGCTTAAAGTGGGGACAGGAGAGGTGGGGAGGGGATCTTTATCGGGGAGTGTAGTGAGGGGATGAGGGGTAATGGTTTTAAACTGAAAAAGGGTAGATTTGGATTAGATGTAAGGAAGAAATCCTCCCCTGTGTTGGGGGTGAGGCGCTGGCCCAGGGTGCCCAGAGCAGCTGTGGCTGCCCCCTCCCTGGAAGGGTTCAAGGCCAGGTTGGACGGGGCTGGGAGCCCCCTGGGCTGGGGGAAGGGGCCCTGCCCGGGGCAGGGGGGTTGGGACTAGATGAGCTTTAAGGTCCCTTCCGACCCAAACCACTCTGCAATTCTAGGAGATCTGCTCCACTGTTAACCTCCCTGGGCTGCAGGGCACAGCCTGCCTCACCATGGCCTTCACTGCAGGCTGCAGGGGAACCTCGGCTCCAGTGCCTGGAGCACCTCCTCCCCCTCCTTCTTCACTGACCTTGCTGTCTGCAGAGTTGTTTTTCTCACATATTCTCACTCCTCTCTCCTGCTGCAATTGTGCAGGTTTGGTTTTTCTTTTCCCTCCTTCTTAAATACGTTATCCCAGAGGCGCTACCGCCATCGCTGATGGGCTCGGCCTTGGACAGTGGTGGGTCTGTCCTGGAGCCGGCTGCACTGGCTCCACTGGACACAAGGGAAGCTTCCAGCAGCTCCTCACAGAAGTCACCCCTGTAGCTCCCCTGCTACCAAAACCTTGCCACGTAAACCCAATACACACACCTACATGTACGTCACAACTGAGACCTTTTAGGATATCAAGAGTCAAAAGTTCTCATAGCTGGCTGTTCTCGAGTCTTTCAACTCATGCTCACCAGAAAGGCAAAGTGAAAACTACACCAGTGCTTAGTGGCTGTCATACCATTTGTTGACCTTCACTCCTTTAAGAAAGAACTAACACAAAAAGCAGATTTTAAGCCACTTCCATAGAGTACCTAGTAAATATACTTCTGCATTTCAGGAACAGGGACCATTCAAGCTTGGCAAACACCCCCAGTTAGCCTCACTAAGCAAAATTTTTATCTTCCTCCAGCAGAAAGGCATGAGGAGCACATCTCTTACAGAGAGCAGGACATGACTGCCCAACAGGCTTGTTCCTCACCTTTTTGTGGTCAGACCGCAGGTTACCACTTCTCAATTCCAAGGTTTTACCAAACGGCTGACAGTCCAGCAGCCACATAATCTGGCTCATCGATGACTGCAGCTGCTCAAATTCTGCTTGTGTGCCACCTGAAAATGCAGTAGGTACCTTTGGATAATCTTGGGCTACTTCCTAAAATGAAAATTTGGAACCCTCGTGGTGGAGTGTTAGGGAGACAGGGAGTGAGTGCATGCTAACAAACATAGCTACAGCATGTGCACTGGACCAGTTACTACTGTATAGTGATGTATTTGTCAGGACAAAGAAATATCTTTGGCATCTACCAGGGCACCAAAGTCAGTTCAGTACAGCTGACCGGGGCAAGTACTGTTCTAACGCACTGCTGCAAGAGAATGTAGCACTAACTTCTAGGGAAATCTTTGGAAAAAAACACCTCAGACCCCAATTATAGTCAAAGAAAGATGGAGTGACAGATTCCAAGGAGAGACACCAAAGTTAGTTTCATCTGCAGTTTATCAGACAGGAGATGTGGAACACAGATATATGCAGATAACTCTAATGGCGTTCTCTAGCAATTCAGAGGTTTCAGAGGTTAAACTACATGATCCCACCAAAAATCATTCTGCAAGCTGTTTTCTTCTTTAGAGGTTTAAGTAGTCTGTGTCTCCTGCTTCACCAGTCTTCCCTCAGATTATTACTCTTGGTACTTCCAACTTCCCATCTCTCTAAAATAGGATATAAAGGGGGTTAGCTGTTCTCATGTGAACCATCTCAGTGCTCTGTGTGTGGATCTGCAGATTAATCAAAAGTGACTGAGCAAAAAAAGCTTTTAAGTGGAGAGTGATTGATGTGCAGGGCCACAGCTTGCTCTTTCTACCATGGTGATCAGAAGTCCCACATTACACTGTGCTGCTAACGTCCTTCTCTGTTGAAGTCTTGCTTCTGTTAAGGGAGTAAGGGACCAAACGTGTTGGTGCCTCAGTAAAGACACCTTCCAAGATTCCTTGCACTGTTTGCCACGTCTTTGCCCTGAAGTCCTGTCCCACGAAAACATAGAGCAGGGGGTTGATGCAGCTGTTGGCATATGCAAGTGCTGTAGAGAGGTGATCCCAGAGGATCAGTGACTCCTTCAGTCCTGTTCCAAGAGTAGGTACAAGGGACAGAATCCCAACTACATGGTAGGGAGCCCAGCAGATGAAGAATGCAGCTATCACAAGCACAACTGTTTGCAGTACCCTGTTGCGTGGCTTGTGAAACTGATTTGCACGCATTCTAAAAGCAATAAGGGCATAGCAAACTGCCATTATGCCAAAGGGGAGTACAAAGCCAAAGACAGCCCTAGTGATGCCTATTACCAGTAAGGCAAGGGATACAGAATAACCTTCATAGAAATTTCCCCATGAGTCACTACCGTTGTAGGCTGAAGGTGAGTATTGTTCCAATAACTCATTTACAGGATAATCCATATAATCTAGCACCTCGTCATCTCCAAAACTGTATCCACACTCAGTTTTGCCATCATGAGTGCTAGTCTCACGGTAGTAGAAGACAGGACAGCAGAAAATAAAGGCCAGGATCCAAATGGCACTGCATATTACTGATACAAATTTCACTGTTCGATGATTTTGACACCAGATAGGTTTCATCACAAGGAGGCACCGGTCAATGCTGATGGCCACGAGTAGGAAGACGCTAGCAAACATGGTGAAGATTATGACTGATGGAATGACTTTGCAGAGGAACCAACCATATGGCCAGTGTTCATGGAGGGTCAGGTGAACAATGGAAAATGGCAAGGACAAGCAGCACATGAAGTCGGCCACAGCAAGGTTTACGAACCAGACAACGTTCACAGACCTTTTCATTTTCAGACCAGCTACCCAGATCACCAGTCCATTGCCCGGGATACCTATGATAAAAATGATGATGAAGATAGCAATGGAGACAATGGACTCTGATGCATAATATACAGGAGCCTGCTCATGTGAACTGCTATTACCCAGGAGTCGAGGCATTCTGTAGATACAAACCAGAAAGTAAATTAGTAGGCAATTCACACCCTTCTCTCAAAATTCTTCTTTATCTGTACTGAGGCATCTTTGAGTCAGGTGACAGTACAGAGCTGTCAGGGTACAAAGGCACTGGAGTATACAAATTTGTGCTAAAGGCTTACTAATCTGACCATTATACACCACATCATTCTCATGGTCGCTAAGCTACAGAAGCCCCACTATTCAAACGTGGGGGTTGTATACACTTAAGTTCTCCCATCTCTGTCATCCCCTTTGATTTCAGTCTGGTCCTTTTTAGTCTCCACTCTAAAGTGGAGGCTCTCTATTCACACGCCCACACTGCTCATTTTCCTGATCAACTTCCAGCCCTGTACACGCTTTTCTTCAGAAGTCGGCCAGCATTTTGGTCCTCTCCCCTTTCAAAGGAGTGATTTCTTCTGGCATAACCAGTGAAATAGGTTTAGGTTAATAAAGCAATGCTTGTCTTAATGAAATAATCCTGCTCCACTTCCTGGATATTATAAATAGGACAGGACAGCAAGTCTGTTTGCTAAGGGGTATTTTTAGGGAAGTCTCAGTAAGCACATCCTTCTCCCTGCTTTTTTTCTGAGCTCTCTGCTGATTCCTCAGAAAGACAGAAATTTAGTTATAGAAAGAAAAATAAAAATACAGAGTAATAGCAGTAATGTTCTTGAGCCATTTTAGATATAAGAAAAGGTGTCTTATTGCAAGACAATGAAGCTGAGATACAGAATACTTAATGACATTTTAAAACTACGAGAATAGTAGTGGAAAAACTTTAATTGCTCAATTATTCTTGGACTTGGATATTAGTAAATTTAGAAAGGAAAGTAAAGGAAATCTAGAAAAGTCAACATAGAGCTGAGAAAAAGAGCCTGATCTTCAGACTTCAAACATTAATAAAATTGTTTATAAAATCCCTCTTAACTAGATCCTTGCCACATGAGTGAAGACAGTTGTGTTGCTGAAAGGTCTCTAAAAGCATTACCAGAATGCATGGAAACTGCATAGGTAAGAGTTAAATACAGTCGGCAGAAGTAACTGAGGAGACATGAATAAGACAAACCAGACTGATTCTACCTTAACCTCTATTATGCCAGTACTTAAATGCCAGTCAGGGACTGCTGTGTGAAGGACTAAATATCAATATTATAAAAAAAATAAATAATTCTAAATCATTAATCTCTTTCTTGCGTTACATACAGAATGATGCAGAAGTGTTAGAACCGCTTCACCACAAAGAAAATGAGATAAACAGTTGTAACAAACATTGTAATTTACCACTTTTTGGTAACAACTGATAAGAGGCTTTTAGGTTAGGGTGACCTGCAAGGAAAGCTATAAAAGAAGTCACTGGAAGGTAGCTGGGGGCTTAATTTAACATTCTAAGAAGTTTGTTCCATTTCTTGAGGTCTTGCTGATATATGCAGAAGCAACTTTTACACAGACAGCTGGAGAACAGTGCTGCAAGAGTTGAATCTTGCTGCCTCCTCAGATAGCTACAGAAGATGGTATGAAAGGGATAGGGAATTAAGGAATGCTGTAAAGACAGTAATACAAATACTGCTCCAAAGCAAACTGAGAGATGAATCAATAAGAAGATACTGCCTATGCTACGTTCTCAAGAGAGTTAAAAGGGCTGCTAGGTGGTTATGAAAACGGAAGGGCAAACTGGAAGGGAGAGAGAGGTTTTCAGGAATGAAGAATAAGAAATTGCAAGTTGAAGAGGAAATTAGAATTCTGCAGCTTATTATACTTACCCAGGTGAAGTTGGTATTTCAGTGTGCCAGGGAGCAAGTGCCATCAGTCCTGTCTCTGGAGTGACGGAAAAAAGAAACTCATGACATTTTAGGAACTGCTTTCTTCCTGTATGTGCACGGGTGTGCTAAGAATGTTCTTGCACCCTGACGGAAAGCTTAGAATGACTCATATTTGAAGTTTTAGATATGACCTGCTGATAAAATAAACAGTCAAAACAAAAGATGCTGTCTTAACATTGACAAAATAAAGTAGTACCCTGAGTCAAAGAATAATAGAAAGCAAGGGGATGATAGGCACAGACATATACTTCACTATAGTTTCCATAAGACAACTGGATCAGATGTCTTGCCTGTTGGCATAACATTGACCTTTGCTTGATGTAATTAATAATTCTAAACCCTGCCATGCCACCATCAGGTGTCTTGTAGCCACTTCCATGCTTTAACAGATCAGCATATTCACCTAGATAATTCCATTTCTGGGATTCTTATTCATCCAGATGAGCTTCTGTCCCAGCTTGAGGCAGCTTAGTTCATCAAATACAGAACACTGTACTCAGCAAACCATAATTGGTCATGTCAAAGGAATTTTAATCTGATTTTTGGCCTTTCAGGGTACTTAAAGTCTTGCTGTTTGTTTGTTTAAAGACGGAACTTAACTGGTGAAAAGTTAGAAGTGGTTAACTGACATGCTGATAGGACAGAATGTGGCAAGACTATAAAAAGAGAAAACATCTGGGGTAAGGCATTTCGGATGTGCAACAATAGGGCTCCACCTCACCCCTCCCAGTTTGGGAAGTCAAGACTGCCAGCAAACACGACAAAGCCCAGGCATACAAGTATCAGCCTCAGTATTTTTGTTTCGGTCTGGAAAATTAACTGGGATGGAGCAGAGTTCCACTCCAGAGTGTGTCTCTGTGAAACATACAGATGCTGCCCCCCAACACAAACCCCATGAAACCAGAAACAGGAAGGCAGGCCAAGGCTGGGCTGTACCTCCAAAGATGAATGGGCTGTCAGTGGCCTGTTGGGAAAATTCCTCTAGCTGCATCTTATTCTCAGCTCCCACCTTCCCCAGGGGACTCCTCAGACCCAGACAGAAAGTGTTGATAACCCTACTGGCTCTTGCTGGCCAAAGGATATACCACCTTTCCACCACCTTGCAACTTGCTAGCTCTAGTCAAGCTCGCCTATGCAAGAAGGTCCACCTCCACCAGTTTGATCCTCACAGTTAAAACCTTTCCCCTGCAGCCAACCTTGACACAGCAAGCACTTTGTCTTTAGCCCAGCCAGCTCACCCTGGACAACGATGAGATGATGTGGTTTCCAGATCAATGAACCTTTTAAACAGTTTGACTAATGAAGTGTTTTGCACCTCAGCAAAAAGGGCCTAATAATGTAGACGCTCAAAGGAGGTGGTACAAGAAGGAAAAAGGAAATTTTTGTTGCTTTCATAAAATGGTTACTTGTATCAGACCAGACCTTTGACTTGCAGCTTTGATGGCAATCTGAAATTACCACACTGCATTCTTCTCTTCCGGATCTCTCCCTTCTCCTCATGACAAACACACTGAGTTAGCTTAGAAGGGCTCTAGTTCACATAATCACAGAATAACTGAAGTTGGAAAACTGTCTGGAGACAGTCCAGCCCAACCCCACTGCTCAAAGCCAGGTCAGCTAGAGAAGATTGCCCAGGACAGTGTCCAGTTGGGTTTGAGTATCTTCACAGGAGACTCCACAAACTCTCCGGGCAATCTGTTCCAGTATTCAACCACCCTCACAGTAAAAACTGTTTTATTGTGTTCAGAGGGAACATGCTGTGTTTCAGTGTGTGCCCACTGCCTCTTGTCCTGACACCAGGCACCACCAAGAAGAGTCTGGCTCCATCTCTATTAAACACTCCCATCAGGTGGATGATAAGCTCCCCCTGAGCCTTCTTGTCTCCCAATTGAACAGTTCCAGCTCTGTCAGCCTCTCTTTGTGTGACAGGTGTACCAGTCCCTTAATTACCTTAGTGGCTCTCCACAAGTTTCCCTCCACTACGTCCACGTCTCTCTAGTACTGGAGAGCCCAGAACTGGGCCCAGCACTCTAGATGTGGCCTCACCAAAGCTGAGTAGAGGGGAAGGATCACCTCCCTTGACTTGCTGACAATACTAATACAATACAATACAATACTAACCTAACCCTGGCAGCTTTCTTTTCTGCAAGGGCACATTGCTGGCTTATGTTCAGCTTTTTGTCCACCAGGACCACAACATCATTCTCTGCAAAGCTGTTTTCCACGTGGTCAGCCTTCAGCATGTATTAGTGCATGAGGTTGTTCCTCCCCAGGTACAAGACTTCGTACTTCTTGAACTTCAGTTCCTGCCTGCCCAGTTCTCGATGGTAGCACAGACACCCGGTGCATAAGCCACTCCTACCATTTTGCATCATCTGCAAACTTACTGAGGGTGCACGTTCCTTCGTCATCCAGGTTGTTAATGAAGAGTTAAACAGGACTGGAACCACTGGTAACCACAGCTGAACACCACTAGTGACTGGTCTACAGCTGGACTTGTTTCTTCTGATCGCCACCCTCTGAGCGCAGCAGTTCAGCCACTCACTGAACTCCACCTCGCTGCCCACCTATCTAGCCAATACTCCATCAGCTCGTCCAGGAGGATGTTCACACTGAAGTTTATCATGACATACAGACTCAGCTGGCCACCACAAGTTGGCTAAAATCTTAATGCAAGTTACCATTTATATTATCGTTTCAGGTTTACTATTATAAAACTGCACCAGTCTATCAGTTATTAAAGTTACACCCATATACAGTCCTAAAAATGTGATCAGTGTAATTATAAAAGCCTCCCTCCTGCAATGGTATGCATGTTGTCTCCAAAACACTTTGGCAAGAACTATGAATTCCACTTGTATTCCATATCTCTACTACTTCTTCTGCAGTTCTACAAAGCTCTGCAGCCCCTCTCAGATCTCCCTTTTGGTTTTCTGCCCAGGGTGTGACTAGATAGCTATGATCTTTCACAGACCCTGAACATTCCTTGTTTATATGGCAATCGTGTCTTCCTAAATAACCTGTCCAAAACGCTCCCTGTAAATCCTAGCCATTACTAGCACAACTGTTTCTCTAGAAAACATACTACAGTGGTCTGGGGGGCCAGTCTTTGCTTTGCACTTGTTTTCATTGCCACAGCTGTGCACTTAGTTTCATTGTGACTCTCAAGTAACATAAAGTATCTGCAGGGTTGTCCAGCACTGGTATTCCTCAGACTCTCCTCTTCAGAAAATCCACTGAATGCCCCCAAGGCATTTTTGTACATTGCTGAATAAGCTCAGGTCAGCACAAGCTCTGGACACCATGCAGGGAACAAAGCTTGACATAAGTGGTGCATACATAGATCATACATAATTAAAAAGTAGCTCTTCACAACAACAGGTTCTCAGTACTGGGTGAGTGTTCAGGTCAGATGTTTTGCCAGGGCATTTTCAGTGAAAAAAACACCATTTGAAATAGTATTTGGACTGTTTCGTAAAAATCCTCATATTGAGATTAACCTTTGAGTTATCTAATGAGTCTTTTTGTGAGACTGGTTTCCCCTGTACCTTCTGTGCAGAGAAGGAAAATTCCAAATGCTGGGTTTATCCATTAAGTACATTCCTGGACAATGCCTTATTTTTTTTTTCTTAAATAAGCAAAGCAAAAAGCAAAGTAAAAGCCCAAATGACTCTTCTGCATGTTTATGAGGCACGAACTGTACATTTTTTCAGAGTAAACACTTAGAATTTTTAGAGACTCAGTAACTGGCTACTGCATAGCAGTAAACTCCCACATCAGTCTTCACTGAGAAGTCACTATTTAAAAAAATAGCAGTTTAAATGCTACTAGTCTTATAATATTTGATAAACTAGTATCTATACACTTATTTTGGCCACATTTCTGGGAAATCACACTCCTGAAATTAACATTTATGTAGCAGACATCTTCACCATGTTTAGCTGCAAAACTTCTAATGGTTTGTGCTGTGTTTTATCTTTGTTTTGCTGTTTTACCAAAGGCCTCCTGATCTCTGCACCACAGGCCACACGAAAATCCATTTTCACTTAAAACTCAAGCTTTGGCCCAAGGCTGCTGGAAAGAAAACCATGCTGGGAATAAACTCCCAGGCCCACTGTGAAGGGCACACAGGGATGCACACCACCAACCCAAACACTTCTACCCCCCCTACACCCAGATATTCATGTGGTGGCACAAAACCCAGCACCATGTTTCGGCATAGTGTAAAAGAATGCCAGTGTTAAATTGCTTGCCAGACTGCCAGAATTAAGGCAAAGAGGTTAATGACAGGCAAAGCTTTGAGAACAGAGCTGCTTAAAGAAAGCCTATAAAACAGTACAGAATTACACTTCCCTAGGATACTAGCCTAGCAATTTGTAGTGTAAGGGCTTTGTGGGCCAGGGGTTTGGTGTGCATTTGTTAGCTGTATTTTATAGACTTTCCTTCTATGGATTTATCTAATTGCTTTCTTGAAACTTATACTTTTGGCTACCTGTATCATCCTTGGAACCATGAATCTAATTGTACAATATGAAAAAGTGCAATTTTTGTTTTCAAATTTCTACCCAATCATTTGTTCTTTTACTGTAAGAATTCATGTCACCTTCCCCATGCGTCTCTCATACCGCCACTTAAGACGTCTCTTCCCAAGGTGAAGCATTCTCGTCTATTTAGCTTGTCCACCAAAAGAAGCCATTCTCAGCCACAGCTGTCTAGTCATCATTTTCTGTATCATTTCTGATTTTACAGTTGTTTTTAAAATTGAGGAGCACTACACCATTCAGTATTCAAGAAGCAACTGGATACTTCTGTTATATTTACATTTTGAATAGAATTGCACGTTGACATGATTTTTCATAGAACTTTCTGCGGTGACTGCAAAGTTTCTTCTTTGAATGGTAATAACTTATCTAGAGTACGTCAATCTGTATGTATAGTTATGGTTGCTTTTCCAAATTCACTAATTCACACTTAGCAATATTAAATTTCACCTGTCTCTTTATTGTACCCTCTTTCAGTGTGCCACAATCCTTCTACAGCTCTAGGAGACCATCTAAGAAGAGAGTGGCAAACAGCCAACTTTTATAATGCACGTGAAAAAGATGCACAAGCAGCTCCAGGACACCAGGAATACATCTCCCATTCAATTCCACTGAGACTTAACTAGCAGAAAACATAACATTCTTCTAACAAGCACCTCTGGACCAAGAAAATACAAAGCACTGCCAATATCAGCTAAAGTTTTTGTTTGTTTGTGTTTTTAAAGGATTAAGCAATGAGGTTGAAATCTTGGAGAACATAACTCAAAATCAGGCTGTGAAAGCAATGGAGGATCCATATTGTTCCCACACAGAAATCTTCAGTGAAAACCACGGAATAGCATAAATCTTGGATAGAACTCCACAATGCTCTATCGTATGAGGTGTGCAAATAAGAAGCACTACACAAGTAGGATAAAATGCCCATTTCATGACAATCTGTAGATAGCCTTGTAATAAACTATGCAGAAGAACCATTTAGGCTTTTGTGTTTGCTTTGCCTATTTAAAAGAAGAAAATAAAAAACGAAGGCATTGTCCAGGACTGTACTGAATGGATGGACCCAACATTTGGAATCTTCCCTCTCTGCACAGAAGGACACAGGGGAAACCAGTCTCACGACCCCAGCCGTGGGCTCCCAGCTCTAGGGGTGACACGGGCGCCTTTTGCTCGGGGCCACCGCGGTCTGGGAGCCCGCGGCCGGCGCCTCCCCCGCCGCATCCCGGGCCGCCGGGAAGCCTGCCGCCCAGGCCCGGCCTGGGCCCGGGGCCCCTCGCCCCTCCCGCCGGCCCCCATCCCCCGGCGGCCCTGCTGGCCTCTGAAGGGCCTCTCCCCGTCCGAGCACTGGAACCTGGCCTGCCCCGCTGGCGCTTCACCCCGCCCGGCTCTGCCCGCTCCTGTCATGGCTGCGCCCAGCTCCGGGACGGCGCCCGAATCAGACATGGCCGCTCCAGGCCCACGGGGGAACCCCCGGAGTCCAGCCCCCACTGCGGTGTCGGTACCAGCTCCAAGATGGCCACCTCCCCGCCCCCGCGCTTTGCTGCCAGGATCTAAGATGTCTTCCTCTACGACTTCGACGTGGCTTGGTTCCCGCCCGGCCGCCACGGCGCCCCTAGGCGGTGTCTGCCCTCAGCAAAGATGGCGGTCGGAATCGCCCCCGGTTCTTAGGCTCCCAGCGCTCGGTCTTCGCTGGGTTGTTGGGGTTCGCGGCTGAGATGGCGGCGGCTGAGCTGGAGTACGAGTCCGTTCTCTGTGTGAAGCCCGATGTCAACGTCTACCGCATCCCACCACGCGCTTCCAACCGCGGGTACAGGTGAGGGAGCATGCAGCGCCGGGGGTCGCCCTGACCCGCGGGCCCGGCAGACGGGGGCTGGGCCCGGGAAGGGGCGTCCTCCCCGTGAGCGGCGCCTTGGGAAGCCGCGGCCTGTAGCCGCAAGCAGGTCAGGCCTGTGCCTTGAGGCCTTACACCCCACGGGCTGCAGCTCTGGGAGATGTACTGGCTGGAGTCACTTCTTGTAGGTGGGCTTTGCTTAAAAGCGGGAGCCTTTGCTACATGGCGTGGACGAGTAGGGTTTGCTCTGTTAATAACGGGCAGAAGGTGAGGCCACCTGAGCAACTTGCTCTTCCAGGCAAAGCTGACCTCCGCCCCCAGTTTGCCCTGGGATGCGGGTCTGATGTGGTATAATGGCATATTGAATTTGGCCTGTTGGCTCTTGCAGTAGTGTGGAGGAAGCCAGAAGGGGTTAATGAATTCAAAGAAGAAATTGGAAGACAGGGAGTTAGAAATGCCTTTTCTCTATTTAGCTGAAACCAGTGGAGTGTGACTTTGTAAGCTGTGCCCACAGTCTTGCTGGAGAAGGGGGTTTGTGCTCTGAAGTGCTGATGGGTGTCTGTGGTACTTGCTGAACTTGGTAAACTGTTGCCACTGTGGATGTTGCACCTGGCCACAGGTGTTTGTTCCTAGCTATAAAATCCTGTAGGTTGGGGGTTTTCTCTCTTTTGTTTTTTATTTTATTTTTTCCCTTCACAGCAGTCTGTATCAAAGAGTTTGATGAGCTAGTCAGGATGGCTGTGCGTATGTTTTACCCAGTATAAGCTAGCTACCTCTAGCTTCAGAAGTACTTGTTATTATTTTACAACAATAGGGTAAAATGATGGCGTGGCTTTTCAGCAGGCTGTTAACTAATTTTTGGGGTCTTCCTGATGCTCACAAGTCACTTTTGGGTTTACTGTTTCAAATGAGTTTCTGGGTTTCAGTCTCCCATCTTCTGCAAGTTTATAAAGGAAAAGACAGAGTTGATGCTCTCTGGAAGGTATCTATTTCCCTTTACCCAGAGGAAAGAGAGGTCAGTCAGAGCCATGTGTGTCCACTGGCAGCAACAGAGAGGAGCTGAGACCTCATATATGGTTTGGGGAGAGAAGTGGAATAAGGCAGCTGCAGGTGTTGAAGGTTTGGGAGCAGAGACTTTCGCTAAGATTGTTGGGCAGAATTGGAGGTGTCGATGTATGGTCAGTGAACAGCTGCTTTTCTTTTCAGGGCATCTGACTGGAAACTGGACCATCCGGACTGGACAGGGCGGCTTCGTGTCACCTCCAAAGGCAAAACTGCATACGTAAAACTGGAGGATAAGGTTTCAGGTAATGGAAAGGCTGAGACTATGATTGCTGTTCATGAGCCTGTGTTTCTAAGCTTGCTCAGAGCTGTGCATGCAGCCCTGGCCATGCTTCAGCAAGAGGTTGCTCTCCTTAACACCATTCTCTGTCTGCAGGAGAACTCTTCGCCCAGGCTCCTATAGATCAATACCCTGGCATTGCAGTAGAGACTGTGACAGATTCCAGCCGCTATTTTGTCATTCGAATTCAGGATGGAACTGGTGAGTTGAGGGGTCATGTATGTGCCAAGTGCTAAGGGTGGAGGAGATTTAGCCTGATGGAGCTGGGTATATGCCAGGTGGATTGAAATGGCATTGGGAGTGCTGAAAAGGCTGGTCAGTGTGCCTGGAAGGGTTGGAAGGCAAGGTTAACAGAGGAGGGTTCTTTACATTGCACAGAGTCCAAGGGCTGGGAAAGAACATTCAGTTTCTGAGAGTGCTGCATGGGAAGAAGGGTGCATCCTGAAAGCTAGGAACAATGAATTGCTGTGAGCTGCTGGTGTCCAGCTGCAGGTGTGTCAGAGGGAGGTAACGCAGAGGGGTCTATGAGAAGCAGAAGGATTTTGGAGTGAATGAACACAAGGGCCCGTTTTCAGGGCACCTCCAATGACTCCTGTCTCCTTGCTAGGACGAAGTGCTTTTATAGGCATTGGCTTCACGGATCGTGGTGATGCCTTTGACTTCAACGTCTCTTTGCAGGATCACTTCAAGTGAGTGGTGCTTTTCTGGAATGCTGTTTTTCCTCTGGCCTGTAGAACATGGTGGGTGGTGGTACATGTTCATTTAGCTCAGGCTTCCTTGGGATGGTCATGAAACCCTACTCTGGCTCCACCAGGGACACTGGAGTGTGCTGCCAACTGTCATGCAAGCTGAGTCCTGCAGGGTCAGAGATGTAAGTCTTGAGCTTAGGTCCTGTGAATCTATGAGTGCAGTGTTAGACAGTCTCTTGGGTTTGTGGTCGACCCAGCTTTTTTCTGTACTACACGGAGAGTAGGGAGGTAGGTGGTTTGACAAGTCAAGGTAGCTTTTTCGGGATGGGGAGAGGAACCATGCATTTTTCTAAAACCCTGTTCTGTTTTGTCACAGGGTCTTATGTCTTCCTCTTTTCTTTTTAGGTGGGTGAAGCAGGAGACTGAGATCTCCAAGGAGTCCCAGGAAGCTGACACACGTCCCAGATTAGACTTAGGGTTTAAGGAAGGGCAGACCATCAAACTGAACATTGGGGTAAGCAGCCCAGTTTACCCTGCTTCTTTCTCTGGATCTGCCAATGGAGTATATTCCTCATTTGTCTTTTCTTTTTATACAGAACATGATGACAAAGAAAGGAGGAGCAGCCAAGCCCCGTGTGTCTGGATCAGGGGGCCTAAGCCTGCTGCCACCCCCACCAGGAGGCAAAATTGCAGTCCCTCCTATACCTCCCCCTTCCTCCACAGCCATTGCCAACCATGTCACGCCACCACCTGTGCTGAAATCTGGTAATGTGAGCAGTTCAGGTAAACATTAGCATAGAGCAGTCTGTCAGACACTAGTAGGTGCATAGGGAGGACTGAGGCCTAGTGTCCTGTGAGACATGATGTGTCCTAAGGGCTTTGCCCTCTTTGACCTGAGGATCTCCGTGCTTGTTCAGTAACATCTCCTTGCAAGGAAGACAGTGCTGTAGCTCCTGTGCTTGCAAAAGGAGAAGTCAAGTGACTTGGTCAAAACTATCTTGGGGGGATGGGTATGAAATTTAAATAGTTGGATTTTTTTGAACTTGTATGTGCTTTAGGGGCACTGTAAGAGCTGTGTAGGGTGTTTGGAAAAGTACTGCACAGTCACTTGCTTTCTGCAGAAAAATATAGATAGACTTGTGGTTGTTGAAAGATGCAGGAAAGTACTTCTTGAATGGCTTTGAACAGGGAGAGAGGAAGCTTTAGTATAAGGAGCAGAAAGAGGTGCAAAGTATAGTGGGTTATTTTGAAAATGTGTGTATTATAGATATTTATATAATAATATATAAAAATATATTTGTTAAACTTTGTGCACATATGTGTACATACATATATGTGTGTGTATGAAGTTCAACATGGCCAAGTACAAGGTCCTGCACCTGTGGTGGGGCAATCACCTGTATCAGTACACACCAGCGGATGAATGGATTGCGAGTGGCCCTGCAGACAAGGACTTTGGGATACTGGTGGATGAAAAATTAGATATGAGCCAGCAGTGTGCATTAACAGTCTAGAAAGCCAATCATGTCCTGGGCTGCACCAAAAGAAGTGTGGCTAGGAGGTTGAGGGAGGGGATTCTCTCCTTCTACTCTGCTCTTGAGGCCCTACCTGGAGTACTGCATCCTGGTATCCCCAGTACAAAAAAGATACGGACCTGTTAGAGTGAGTCCAGAGGAGGGACATGAAAATGGTCAGAAGTCTAGAACACCTCTGATATGAAGAAAGGCTGAGAGAGTTGGGGTTGTTCAGCCTGGAGAAGAGAAGGCTCTGGGGAGACCTTAGAGCAGCCTGTCAGTAAATAAATGGAGCTTGTAAGAAAGATGGAGAGAGACTTGTTACCACGGCCTGTAATGATAGGACAGGGGGCAAAGGTTTAAACTGAAAGAGGGTAGATTTAGATTGGATATAAAGAATAAATTTTTTTACAATGAGGGTAGTAAGACCCTGGAACAGGTTGGCCAGCCAGAGAAGTTGTGGGTGGCCCTCTTCCTGGAAGTGTTCAAGGTCAGGTTAGACTGGGTTTTGAGCCACCTGGTCTAGTGGAAGGTGTCCCTGCCCATGGCAGGAGTGTTGAAACTAGGTGATCTTTAAAGGTCCCTTCCAACACAAACCATTCTGTGATCCTGTAACAAAGAGTTTGCTGCTGTCTTCTGGATGCTGTACTAAAAGTGTGACCATACAGAGGTATCTGGAGAACTTAGAATACTCTTGTGAAGGCAGAGACTTTAGCAGTGCTGTACACAGATCAGAGTGAGAAGAAACCACAAACTTCTAAATAGATCCAGGCTGCAGTGCATGGTTTGTACTGTTAAAGTGATGCTTGTTTGGCACCTGTTACGATTGATGAGCTTGGGCTGAGTCTGAGTCTTATGTCTACTGAGAGAGGTAATAAATCACAAATCTGCCAGTTTGTATGCTAGATGGAGACTGTATAGTTCTTGACGACAATGTACCCCTGCAGCATAAGCTGGATGCTCCATGCACGTTCAGTGAAAAGAGCTGCTCTTATAACAAAATCCTTAAAAAAAGTCTTCCTTCTTTTCTAAAAACACTTCCTTCTGGAGGGAGAGCTGAAGTCCCTTCAAAGATTCTCTGCCCCTGTATTCATCAGTTTATGTAAGGTGACAGTTTAAATGCCTGTGATGGTTTCTTCTTGATTAGCTTGATTTTTTTTTTTTTTTTTTTTTTTCCCTCCTGCCTTAGATATTCTACTAGACTTAGATGCTCCTCCATCAGCATCCAAGGCACCAGCATCAGCTACCACAGACCTGTGGGGAGACTTCAGCACTGCATCCAGGTAAACTGTGGTGAAGGGAACTGCACACAAGAAGGGTAGTGTTCTGATGGGCGCTGGAAGAGCCAGAAGTTAAGAAGTCTTATTAGATCTGCTCCTTTGATTCTCCTTTCTTTATTTCAGTGCTGTTCCCAATCAGGCTCCTCAGCAGTCCAACTGGGTCCAGTTCTGAATGGTCAAAGCAGTGGAGTGGGACAAACTGATGACCAAGAGGCTCTAGAGGCACCAAATGGGATCAGAGGAGGCACAAACCTCTCTAGTCTTCAATCAAAAACAAATTGGGACAATCCTTCCTTTTTAGACCAGATCTTCACTTCAGTCAAAACTTACTATTTTTGATCCCACAGTGAAACCACTGAACCTAAGGAGAACATACTGACTCCCCACAAGATGGGCAAGGAGGAGAGGGGTAGCCTTGTCTCTTCTACCCACTTGGCCATTACATGGTACATCCTAGCTCTTTTTCCCTGTATTTCCATACAGGGAAAGCATGAGTCCTGAAGAAGGTGGGTACAGGAGGAGGCTGGGTAGGTGCCTCTGGGTTCCTTGTCCTTTAAATTTTCTTTGGTAAGACTGTTGTGTTTTGTGGCTGCTTTCAGTAGTGACTCAGGACTGTAGCTTGGCCTGCAGTGCTGAGGACAGCTGCATTTGGCTGCAGGTTGTAAGTGGAAGCTGTAAGGAAATAGATCTTGTCTCATCACAAAACTCTCCTTGATTAATTACATCTGTGGTGAGGAGTGAACCTCCCCATGCACACATTACTCTTCTTCTCTTTGGTGCAATTCTCTATAGTGCTGGATGTTCCTGTGCTCTTGTGGGAGGAGTCTTGCAAATCCTTGAGTAGACCTGCTGCCATTGTGCTGTAGGTCCATGTGGGCACCCCATCATGAGGCTTCTTGTTTGGCTTGCAGGTTCACTAGAGGAACTTCCCTCATTTTCACTGCTTTCTCCTTCCCACCCCATTCAAAGGCCTCATTGTTACTGAGCTGTTTCAACTGGAAATAGCTTAAAAAAAAAAAAAGAAAAAAGCCTGTTTTTATAGCTTGGTAGTTAATTGCACTAGATGACAACCAGGTAGTCCCACCACTCAGCATTTCACGTTCCTGTGTCACTATCCTGAACCTTGTGTGGTGACTTGGCACTGTGTTACAAGTATTGCATATCCATACCACAGTAAGGACTATGGTGGGACTGTCGATTATTCTCTGGTGAAGGTACGCTCTCCTTCCCCTTTTCAGCTTACTTACTGTTTGGGCAAGAAATGTATAGTAGGCCTGGTCTTGAGAACTGTGGCAGCAAAATTCTCCCACCTGTGTTCCTTCTTGTGGCTTTTCTTCTGAGGCTAACTTTCTAGGGATGTGAGCTGGTTATTGTAACTTGGATTTATTTTTTTTTTTTTTTTATTTTTAAAGTGCCCCAAATCCCCTCTATTTCCTATGTGATTTAGGGGGGCTAGAAAGAGGTAAAAGGTCCTCTGTTCTCTTTGGGAGAGTTTCCTAACACCCTTTGATGTAGACACTGATCTGTCTTCAGCAGCTATGGATGTGATCTGGGGTGTTAAGTCTGCTGATTACTCTGGGCAAAGCCCATGGACAGGCTGTAAATCTCACAGTGCTAGCTACCCTCTGTGTTAGCTGATAAGCCAAAACACTAGCTGGCATGGTGGTCTCAATGGCTTTTCTACAGCTGTACCCACTTACTGGAACACTAGGGTTTTGGTACTTCACTGGAAGACTTCTTTCTGTTTTGAACATTCAGCCAGCAGCAACATTTTTGTAACTAGGTTGTGCTCTGCCAGCACACCTGTGCAAGTAAATGTTCCCCTTTGGACAGATTTCCTGGTGAGACTTTTAAGAGAATAGTTAGCTGTATGCATCTTGTACTTTCCAAGGTCCCCTGTCTTTTTTGTCATCATACTACACTGAGGGCATTTTGGAGACAAAGTTTCACTTTGACTGTCCTTCTGGGAAGCAAAATTCTTGAAAATAGCTCTGAAGCTCTGCAGTTCCGCTTGCGAAAGTGGGGACCAGACCCTTCTTGGGTGTATTTTTGTAGTCATTTAATCCTGATCTCCTGGCTCTCTTGGTGTTCCCCCTGCTGCCCCTCCCCTACCTTCATAGTCACCCCTGCAGTCTCATTGTACTTAAACTCTATGCCTCTGAATTTGTGGGTGGCTGTAATCTGCTAGTGAAGTCATGGACTCTGCTGGATGGCTTTTTGTTTTATTATTTTTTGCTTAGATCATTGTGAGGTCCTGTCATTTCAACTATGTATCAGTTCCCCAAAGCAAGGAAGTTTATGCCACCAATTAACAACTAACTAGGAGCCTCTTCTGTATTGTCTTAGTATTCTAGAGATAATATATTATGTATTTGAAAAGCTGAAGAAGCAAAAATTAAAGATATATGTATATAAAGCATAAGATGTACTGGTGCAAATGGTAATTAAACAAGTAATATTGGGGAAAATGAGTCTAATAAGTTGTCAAATCGTTGCTTTGGAAGCCCTGCAGATTGAAGGTCTTCATGTCTCCAGCAAGATCCTAGTAGCCTGCTTACCCTTTTGTAAGTGCATTATGGCCTGCAGACTGAACAAGAACATCTTTAGGAATGAATGGATTTAGGCTCTGTCTGGGTGAAGAAGTAGGAGCATGGAAGGAGGACACAAAAATGACCTATGGTTCTTCCAAATGGGGTAAACCCCTCTCCCCCTCCTCCCAAATCTACAACATGGTAGCAGGCATGACTGTAGGTGTGTGTGTGATGCTTGATAAGAATGTGGATAAAACTAGCAAGTGAGAAAACTTAGTTGCCCTGCCATTTAGCATTTTAGACATTAGAGGCTTCTACACCCTGCAGATGCTTTAAGAATTGATTCTTGCCACGCTTGTAAATGGGAAGCAGTCTCTCTGCTGACTGCAGAGATGAGCAAGGTGAGCCGAGTTGGCTCTTTGTCAGGGAGGATCAAGGGCAGGCTGCTTCGAAAGGGACAGCAAGATGGAAGCCAGTCACAGCAAGGCAGACAAGGGCAGTGGCCCTGCCAGCAAAGGAACAGCCCCACAGTACCTAAGCTGGAAGATCAGGTCAGGATGAGGATTTAGATCAGCCTGGTATATGGCCAGGCATGGACATGGCTGCCCTAGCTCAGGCAGGGATCAAAGGTGAGAACCTTAACTGAGATAACCTCAAGGGCAAACCTTGCTGAGGTTTCTCAAAGCCAGACACCTATATTATTTAAGCTGGACCTGAGTCCAGGCAGCCAATCCCCCAAAAGATGGAGAATGTGCTCAGGGCCCTGATGTTCCTCTACCAGGGCTGCTCACAGCCATCTCTTGCACAGTCACACTTGCTTGGTGTTCCTCTGCCAGACAGCAGAACTCTACATATGGTTGTGTTGAAAGTACAATGAAAGTCTCGCGGCCTGGGTGAAGATGAGAAGTCTTAACCTTTTAAGTCAGCTGGTTGAATGACACCAGTAAATGCTAGTGTCATTGTCAAATATTCTAGCATCTGTGGTGGCCAAAAAAAAATCATCCTCTACCTTTCTTCAGATCTAGGAGCAAAGCTGTTATCCTGTTTTGGTGAATAGGGTGAATGTGTTGCATAGGCCTTGACCAGGCAGAAAGTGAGGGGTCTTGTCCATGAGCTACGATGAAGCTTCTCTGACTTTTCCATAGGTAGTTGCAGCAAAAAGGGTTGAATAGCCTAAGAGGGTATTTCTCTGGAGTAGGAGGATTTTCAGGTGAATTGTACCTAAGGGATGTACTGGAATATACTCCTGTTTGTGTACAGAGGACTGGAAAACATTTCAGGAGGGAAAGCTTAGTCTTCTCTGGAGATCTTACCGGTCCCCATGTCTTTCCTTACAGTGAGGCCTGCTAGAACGCAACAGCTTGATGTGTCTTGTGCAAATCCTCTCCTCCTTCTCCTTGGCGACCATTAGGGGCAATCTTTCTGTCCCCAGTGGGAGAAATTGGCTGTGATGGTAAGTTACTGGTGAAATGACTTGGCCTGTGACTGGACTGGCTTGAATCTTCCCTTCTCTTCCTGCACTTTGTTGCCAGTGGTTCCTTCTAATGTTGCAGAAGCCAGTATGCAGGCTGCTTGAGACCTACAGTGTCTGATGTTGCAGACAATCGCATTCTCTAGGTAAAGGATTAAGGCCAGGCCTTTAAGGTGGATCAGCAAACTAAGCAATATCTCCTGAACATTTATTAAGTTCCACATAACAGATCGAGTGGTTTCCTTAGGCAGCTGGGAAGAGCTGTCCTCAGTCGAAGAGAGACAATGGTCAAAGGGAGAGGAAAGTTCATGCCAAATGGGAGACAGACTGTAACACATGGAAAGAGTCAAAAAACAGGTGACAAAGTGAAGATTCCAGTTTGGTCTGGTTATTGATTGTCACTTCTTCTGCGAGAGCTATAGTTGAGGTGGGATGTGAGCATTGCCTCCCCTTCCCCCATTAATTCTCTTCTACATTCTGTGACTTAAAACTCCTGTCTCACAGCTATGGAGTAACTGTTCCTACTACAGGCACACAATATGGATTGTAGGCACAAACTTGCTAGCTTTAACAAAGGATTGGTGCTGTGTGTAGACTCCCAAAGAAATGGAGAGAAAGAGATGTCCACTGGAAAAAATCAAACAAAGTAAAAAACAAACAAGAAACCAAAAAGCCCAAAGTCCTCCTGAACTTTGGTGATGACGGAACAGGATCTGAACCTGAACTCATCCTGTTAAATCAGCATAAACCTACACAAGCTCTAGCAGGGAGCACAACTGTGCTGTTAATGAATAAAACCAGAGCATTGGGGCCTATGTAGTTTACACACATTGTAATGCCTCAAGGTCTAGACAATCCATTGAGTACTTGTCACATTATGTGAACAACAGAGTCTCAGTCTAGAGACCGTTTTAGGTCTCTTTCATCCAAGTTAATAGGTTTGTCCATGCTAATAGCCAGGAAAAGTACACTGCAGGATGTAGAAACCTTCTAATTCAATAGCTTAATTTTGCCAACTGCCATTAGCTATAGCTGCATCTCCTCATCCAGAGTGGGGCCTCTGACAGGTGCTCATTGAAGCTGCCCCTAAGCATGGGAAGATCAGTCAGCAGCAGCTGGTGCATGTAGTGGCTCCTGACCAGAGTCACGTTTTGCCATCACTTATGTTTGGGGCAGGCCAGCCAAATAACTCGCAAGGGCCTGCTTTCCCTTTTTCCCAGGCATTGTAGGAGGGCCGTGCCTCCGTGTTGGGGCAGAGGCACCCGGCTTGCTTAGGAGACTGGTTTGTTAATCCCTGAAGCAGTCCGAAGAGGTGCTCCCTGAAGGAGGGAGCTGCCTGTAACTTGCAGCTTTTGTGTTGAGTCCTTGTGTTTAGATGTAAAGAGGTGGGGTGCTCCCCTGCCCTCCTAGCCTGGTCTGCAAGCCTGGCTGGGTTGGTGACAGCTGCGACCAGGGCTTGCAAGTTCAGTATCACCCGGGACCGTGTGCTGCCATCTGCTGCTCAATCGCCTTGTTGCGGGGCTTCTGGCAATCCCTGGGCTCAGCCAGCATCTCCAGGGATTGCCCGAAATCCCCAGCAGTCGGGAGTGGAGGGATGCAGGCAAACATCACCTGGGACCGGTCTAGCACTGGTGAAGTGTTCTCTGAAGAATCGAAGCTGGCGTCTGTCAGCAAGAGCATGCTGAATCCTGTGTTGGCTGCCTGCAGTGACCTCCCCTGGGCAGGGGAAAGCTGCACCTGGCAGGAATGTGGGCAAGGGCTGGACCTGGGTCTGGAACAAGCCAAAAAGCAGAACTGCAGCATCAGGAGGTGTCCCCAGGGGCATCTGAGATAGAGGGGAAAGGAAAAGGTGTCTTGACTTTAACACGAAGGAGTAGGAGGTAGGCAACCATAAGATGCCAGATCAAGAACTTTGTTGGATTTGGTTTAAAACAGACTGGAAGAGCTTTGGGTTACAGCAGAGTTTGTACTGTCTTTCACAGAATGCTTCCCTCAGTTCAGTAGCAGCTTTGCCTTCATGTGCACCAGTATCATAAGCATTCAAATACTTTCCTGAATGACTTAAACTTCACCAGGGGTCAGTTTTACAGAAACATAGTTGAAAGATTTGTTTTGTTTTGTTTTTTCTTCATATCTCTCGGTAGTTTGGCAGTAATGGAACTGGTGCTTCCAAATGTAGTCATATTCTGCTGTCTTAACATCATATGTGCTTCAGTGCCATCATACACAGACAGCATAGTGTAGGGCTTGGAACTGAGATGTCCCAGGGCAGGCACGTATCTTCTCTTGTGGAGATGCCGATGTGCATACATGTCTGTTGTCTCTGAAGTTTGGCATGTAGGAACTGAAGCTCTCACAGACTTTTTTCAAGTGAAGTCAAAGCACTTGTCCATAAGCAGTGATTATGGTGTTAAGCAAATTGTTCAAAGATGTGGGGAGATGCTACATCAGTAGCACTACACAATCCATCACTTTGGTTAGCTTACATGGACAAGGAACTGTGTTCCAGTGGGCAGCAGTGCCAAGAGGAGAGGGGTAGGAGAACATTTTCTTTGGAGGATATGTGCTAAGGGCTACAGCAGCATTGGCTGAATGTCTGGCTCACAGTTAGGGGCTGGTGTCACTAGTACCTAAAGCTGAAGTTAATCCCATGGGTGCATGTACAAAGTGTGCTTGGAAATGACCAGTGCATACTTTTTGGGTAGAAGAACAGGAAAAGTCCTTAAGCAATGTATTCCATACTAAAATAGGGTTACTGTAAGCTGAGAACCTGCCCTGGGTAGCCTGGTCTAGCTTCAGAAGTAGCCCTGCTTTGAGCAAGGTTTGAACAAGATACCTCCAGCCTGAACTATTTCCTAGCACAACTTTTGTGCTAGGCTGTGGTGATGTGGGGCCAGCAGTGAGCCAGCAGTGTCTAGTGAGACATCTGACGTGGGGGGTTTGTAGGTGATGGGGAATGCTGAGGTCTGATGGTGATCCTTCAGCTCAGGAAGAGCAGAAGCTGTGCAAGGACCGGCACGGTGTGCTGTGCCTGCCCAGTCTTGAAACACTAAATACGCAAATAACTGTGAACTGGAGGCAGAGTCTAAGAGGCATGGGCCACAGTGCTGCAGGCCAATGTGGGACAGCAAGGAGCACTTGGGCCTCTGTGTAAGTCCCAGCTGGCAACTCCAGGGCCCTTGGAGTCAATGCCAACTCCATACTGAATGCTGGCTTCCTGGAGAGCCACTTGCCCCCCTTCGCTTTACTGTGCCGACGCTGACTTCAGTGTCCTAGCATGGTAAAAGATGCGGGCACCTGAAGAGTGTGCCCTTCAAAAAGAAGTGCCCTTTCCCATCTGACCGTGTTGACGTTTGTGTTGTGCTCCTGCGTGAGGTGGGACCCCAAAGCAAGAGCCCTCACTACCTGGCATTAAAACTTCCCCAGCGTATTTCAGTGCTGAGGTGCCAGGGAGTGTCTGGCTGAGCTGACTGTACTCCCTGGGTTTGATTCACCTTTCTATGGTTGTTTCCAAATGGCTTTTGCCTTGTCCCACCCTGACTGGAAGCTTAGGTTGGCTGCACTGCTCTGGAGGCAGGTGGTGTCCCTCACCCCGCTGCTGGCTGGCAAGAGTGTAGCATGCAGTGGGTGCAGGGGCTCCAAATGGCGTGGGGGGCCTTGCTGGCTATAAGGTGCAGGGTAAGGGTCAGTACAGCCCATTTGCGATCTTCCTGAGAAATCTGCACTTGAGGGTAGGAGCAGTGTGAGGAAGCCACATGATGCCCATGCTGGGGGAAGCTCTGAAGGGCCCGAGAGGTTTGTGCTGCTATTCCAGTGCCATCTGGTGGGGCAGCCTCATCAGTGCAGCTCTGAGAAGGCTTTGCTGCATTCTCTTCACGTGCATGGAGAGGATGTGAAGATGTAGAGGGAAACAGCTTGAGATCAAATGAGAGTAGCCCTAAGGTTACCGCATGGATCTGGATGACCTTACCTGATAGTCCCCATACTTGCTTAGTGACTCTGGTTGTTTTCCATTTTTGTGCTTTTCTTTCTACTCCCCCAACTCCCACTTTAAAAGGAGGAAATGAGGTGCATTCACCTCACTGGGCAGAGGTGTAGCCAAACTGCAACCAAAGCTGTCAAGATCTATGTAATCCTTAGACAGACCTGACAATGAAGCATGAAGGATTGCTCCTGTGGGGAGGTGTTATGTGGCCACAGCTTGTTCATGCAAATCCCATGCGCCCACTCTAAGAAGCTAAACTTCACAGCCCTGCCTCTGAAACTGGCCGCTGGCTCTGTCCAGGACTTGGATCTGGCCCAGGTTTGGAGTCAGATATGCAGCTGTGGCGAGCAACTGCGGTATCTGGATCTGATCTCCCACGATTTCTGGCCTTGAGATCTGTGGCTTAGATCCAAAAGAGGAAGGAGGTGAAAGTGCGGTGTTCCCGGTAATAGCATAAAACAAAGCTGTGAGCTAATGCATCTGAATGTGCCTTCTGTTGGCTATGGCTGGATAATTTGTTAATTAGAGGAAATAGATGAAACTTTTCTATTCTGAATAAACAATCCTGAGGTAATGATATATGTGAAGAGGTGGGTCAGGGCTTCTTAACTCTTTGAAGTTTCCCTGGATACTGTTCTTGCTTCTCTTATTCCTTCCATTATACCTGAAGGGTTTTGGGAACCTATCATCACAGGTAAGCACATGACTTTCCAAAGCTGACGGAGTTTGAACTCCCTCAGCTTTGGGACATGGTCTGTTCGTCTTGAAACCCTCAGCTCTCCCTAAAACTTGGCAAACATGTGGGTGGCCGGAGGAATGCATGAACCCTTTAGGGGAGGAACATTTCTTTCTCATTTCTCCTACTTTTCTTTCCTTCCACCATGTTCTGCATGGTACTGTAACCACAACATTTTGAGTAGCTGCTGGTCTCTGTCAAAGTGCTAGAGTGTCGCGCTAGGTGGGTTTGCTGAGGGCACACAGTGTTGCTGACTCAGGCCTGCCTGTGGTGAAGTGCTGCCACCTGACAGAAATTAGTGTGGCTTTGCAGTGCTACCTTCTTTTTTATCCATCCTGCTCTCGCCTCCCTTTCTCACTCTCCATTCAGTTCTTCCCTGTTTCCTCTTCACCCCTGGATGATCAAATGTCTTTTCCTCTGAGCTTTCACAGCTCCGTATAACCCATTTCTTCCTAGGTCTCCTAGTATATCCGTATGGCACCCTGGTTCACCTTCTGCCATCAGCAGGGGTGAGAGCCTTCCAGCAGACGTCTCTTCTCGCTGCAGCTCTGGCCAGTGTTGTCAGCCATGGGCGAGGAGGGCATAGGATGTCTTTCCCTCAGGTCCCAGCAGTCTGCCGTGCTCCACACTGATCCCTGGAGCTGGGGGAACTCAGCTCCTACAGTGAGAACTGCAGCCTCCTGCCCTAACCAGTTCCTTGCAGCAGGGTACGCACTGGGATCATTGATTGCTGGATTCCCTCTAACCAGCCAAATCCCGCAGGAGCTCTCAAGGAGCATTCACTGCCTGAATCCCTTTGATTAGATATCTGCCATCCCTTAGTAACTGCTCAGTGTCAGGCCCTGAGGCCCCGTTCTTCATGCCTCAGTGCCTTTTTATGCTCTTCCCTTGGCTGCAAGGGCTCTGCTCTCCCTTTATTACCTCCGTGGCCTTAATCCCTAGGAGAGGAGCAAGGTGGTGTGTAGGGGGAAGACCAAGAGTGTAGCGTGCATTCAATTCTGATGCTCTTTTCAACCAGGTGCAAGGACAAAAAGCCAGGATTGGGTTTAGGCTGTCTTTATCTGAGTGATAGAAGACTGCACTAGCTAGAGGTGCCGTAAGAGCAGGTGATGGTAGGACTGTCCTGTCAGTGGGCAGCTAGGGACCAGGTAAGATCAGAGCAGACAGTTTTATGAATGGACTGGGCATGGGCTGTGCTTGAATAGGGTCTTGAGGGAAGAGGTCTTGTGAGAAGGTCTTGTGCTGTCAGTGCTCTATTTAAGAAAATAAACAAAACTACCCATAAGGCTGAGTGATGACAAATACTTAGTTACATGAATCACAGTAAATTGAGAAAATACAATTTGGCTAGAGAAATTTCCTCCCCCACCTCATTTCTGTTTTTCTGCCTTTCTTGCTCTCTGCTTTGTTTTCCAGAATGCAGCAAGCTGCCTGCCTTGTGTCTGTGCTCAGCAGAAGGTCCCAGAACCGGCAGAAGAGCAGAGGTGTTCTCCCTGTAAGACTGCTCTTATACCAAAGGTTGCCCCGCTGGCAGCTCAGGTGGCTGGGGGAGTCAAAACCTGCTCAGAGGATGAGAGCCACATCAGCAACACCCTTCATGCTGCTGTCTACAGAACCTCTAGCTGTGCTCTTAGCACCTGACTGTCTCCTGGCCAACCTCTACCTGATAGGCACTTTGGACGAGTAATCTAGAAATGACCATGACCATACCGATGTCAGTCCCTAAAGAATAAAAACAGGGCAAGCATACAAGATGTTCTCCTCTAATGCTTTGCCCCATTCCAAATGTTATCAGAATAGAAACTTGCCAAGTAGGGTACAGCTACTTTGCATTAAGTAAACCCTCAGTGCATTTCTCTTCGATTGTTTTTTCTATTTTCCACCTTTAAGACAAGTAAGATTTCGTGATGCTCAGCACCCTGGGTTAAGGAGTCCGTTGCCCTACTCTGTTTTTGAAGAACCACCTCCCTTCATTAAGTGACCCCTGTTCTCTTCTTTCAATGCCCCATAGTTCTTGTATTAAAAGAAACAGAAATGACTCACGCCTCAGTCAGCTTTTCCTTGATGATTTTTGTAAACCTCTCCTTCCATCTTTAGGGTAGAAATGTCCTATCTTAATTTGTTGTTCTTTATGTGGCAGTCATGTTATACCTTTTTTTTCACCTCTGTCTTTCTGTGAGCCTTTTCTGGACCCACTGTATCCTTGAAATGATTTGAGTTATGAGGATATAACAATACAGTGCTGTAACAAGATTTTATGTTCTGTTCTTTATACCTTTTTTTCACTATTCCTGATGTTTGTTTTGCTGTTCTTTCTGCCTCTGAACAGATTATCTCATACAACTGTTATAATCTGACATCTGAAGGAACTGCACATTAATTCCTACCCACTTTTCCTGTCTGCTTACCGTGACTGTCCACTTTGCTTATAAGTTTTTGCAGAGGAACTTCATGGGTAGCTAGATTATTCTCATGTATGTGATTATTGACCCCTTCAAAGAACTACAAGAGGCAGGATTTCCTTACAACAGTATATTGACTCTTCCCAAAGTACATCATAATTACACTTGTCCATTAATTTTATTATTTTGTTACAATTTCTATTAACTTGGCTGCTACAGACGTCAAGTCTTTAACTTCCTAAATCTCCCTAGGCTTCTCCCCTCCCCTCTCTGATATATTCCTTGCCATTCTGCTAGTCACTGACTAAAAGGCAGTTTAAGGCAAGAGGCCACCCACTGCTATTAGCAACTGTTTTACCCCTGAATTTCTTGGGAACCCCTGGGACCATCTTGCCCAGACTTATTAATTCCATACCTTTTGCTCAATCGCTTTTATTTTGGACAGGTCCCTTGGTTTAGTCCCCCACAAAGCATGATTCTTGTGCAGGAATCTCCATTTTCTTCCACTGTCACAAATAATTACTTTAGCTTTGTTTTGATGTTCTTGTTCTCTCTGACTGCTTCTTTTATACTCTGCTCTTAGGTTGTCTTAAAAGCTTGTGAAAAGGTTTCTGCTTTCAGTATCCATAGGAAAGGAATCATTGCTAGTTCTGATAGCTTCTGCTAGTGGTTTTTCAGACTCTTTTTTACCTTTGCTTTGTGATTTTACACTTACTGGAGGTCATGATCATTTAAATTTTACTCATTTGGATAAAGGGTCAGCTTGTTGAAGAATGCATACTAATAATCCATTTGGCTTGACATTTTAACCATGTCAGCTTCCTTTTGCCTTTTGTCAAATCTTCTAAAGAGGTACTAGGTGCTGGCTTTGGGCTGCCAATGTGACGTCCCTGTGTAACCTCGATGGTAATTGTGATGACTGAATGCCCTCAGCTGCCCCTTTCCATTCTGACTGGCATGTAACAAGTGTCTCATTTCCCTGCAGCTTCCACCACAGCTGTGCTCAACTTCAAAAGGGGATTTTTTTGGAACATGTAGGGTCACAGCTTTAGGACTCAAGTCCTTCTCTTTGCTTATGAATTCAATTATAACTCAACTGGTTCAGCTTGATTTTCAAAATCAGTAAGGCACATGCGATGGTTGCAATGGTGCTGACTCCCTGCTCTGACATGGACCTGCCTGACAAATTAGGTGAAACTGGCTGTGAGGTGGAAGGCTTGCAGAGACTACCTTATGCAAAATTCACTGACAGGTAGGGAAAAAAGAATGCTAACACCTCTGCTGCTTTCTGTTTGTGTCAGCTAGCCAATTGGTGCCTGCACACCTTGCAGAGCAACCACCTAAAGGCAACAGCTGGAGCACGAATAAGGAGAGAAAGCAGGACTGTTGTGGTGAGCAAACACGCCGGTCCTAGAAAGGAGCTGGGGCTTGTGAGGTGTGTGGGAAGTACCTGGCAGTGCTGAGTGGGGTTGAGATGAAAGATGTGTGTGGTGTTGTGGAAGGATGAGGGTGTACTGCAAGGCCTGGGCAGAACACAGGTGGAGGGAGAAGGGAGGAACTGAGGAGCTACGGTGGGAATACAAGGAAACAAAGCATGAATTTTGGGGGGTTTTTAAGCAAGTTTTTTTTTTTTTCTATTTTCAGTCCCACAGCTAACTGCTGGACTTGATTCTCCCTATCTCCCACCCATCAGTGCACATGAAATTCAAAGCACAAATTTTACTGTTGGGAATATCACGTCGCTGTTGTTGTACAAGAGCCCAGCATTGCATCCTATGGAAGTATGATTCAAGGTTGAATTTGGACAGCAAGCAACAACTCTGATGGGTGAGAAGGAAGAATCGAGCTGTCTCCTGATGTTCAAGGGCAATTTAGTGTATTCTAATAAAATCAATAGCTAGATCCTGAATTTACGTTTGAAATGCCTCAGTTGTGTTTGGAAATGTGTTTCAATGGCAAAAAACCTCATGAAGCTGCAATACGACTTTCTTCTCTGTCTGCTGATTGTATTTCCTGTTTCTTCACAGTGGGGAGTTTGAAACCATGCCAGGAAGTAAGCTTTTTCCCCATGAGACTGAGTCTGTTATGGCTTGTTTGGCTGAGGACAGAGGGGAAACACAGAGAGGATTACTCTGACTGAAATCCCAGCGTGAAATTTGAGGGCATAACTAGGTTTCAGCAGGCACTTAGGGAGGATTAGTTCTAGTGAGAGGGACATGCCTGAAGACAAAGGGAAGTGCTGGAAGGATGTTGGAAAGAAAAGTGGGCAACATGCATCTTCTCAAGGGACCAGACTTCTGTCTTGCAGCTTATATAAAAGTCTTCTTATATAAAAAAAGTGCTATTATATAGAAAATACAATATATAAATTTATAAAATATATAAAAATATAAACCACAAAATTATGTAAAAATATATGAAAATATAAAATATATTTTAAGAGCTATTATATAAAAAAAAAGCTCTTATATTAAAAAAGTCTTCTTACATGAAAGTCACCCTCTGCACACACAATACAAAAAGGACAGGTGAAGCCAGCTCAGTGTACACAAGACATGAGGAGGCTCCTTGGTAAAGAAATCCAGATATGTGTGCCCCATTCTGTTTAGGGGCAGCTCTCCGTAATCTGTGTTCAGATGTCCACCACAACCCTCACTTGCCCTTTACCTTCTGCCACATTGTTCTCCTCCGTTGACTGAAGCATGTTCTTCCTCGCACTGTCCTATCTCACCTCCATCTCGGCCCTGTGTACCCTCTGTGCCAGCTCCCTCGGTGTCCTGTGGGTGTCTCACTCTCGTCTGCCTCGAGGAAATTCCAGCTAGCCAAACCAACCAAGCAAAGCTTCCTCCTCCTTCCTTCTGGTTGTTTTGGAGACCTTATTGAAAATGATCAGAAGGCTGGAACACCTTTCCTATGAGGAGAGGCTGAGAGAGTTGGGGTTGTTCAACCTGAAGAAGAGAAGGCTCTGGGGAGGCCTTACTGCAGCCTTTCAGTGTATAAAGGGAGCTTTTAAGAAAGATGGAAAAAGACTTTTTACAAGGGCCTGTAGCAACAGGACAAAGGACAAAGGTTTAAACTGAAAGAGAATGGCTTTAGATTGGTTACAAGGAAGAAATTCTTTACAATGAGGGTAGTGAGGCCCAGGAACAGGTTGGCCAGAGAAGTTGTGGATGCTCCTTCGTTGGAAGTGTTGGAAGAAGCCAGACTGGATGGGGCTTTGAGCAACCTAATACAGTGAAAGATGTCCCTGCCCCTGGCCAGGGTTTGGACTAGATGACCTTTAAGGCCCCTTCCAAACCAAACCATTCCATGATTCCTATCTGCTGACTGAATCCTTCTCACTCTTTTTCTCCAGGGTATTCTGGACCACTGTTTCTTCTCAGAAGTCTTTCTGATTCAGCATGTATCTCAGCAGCCTTTTCCCCTTATTGTCTCCTTTCAACATCTGCCACAGCTTGAAATCAGACTAAACAGTAGCCTGATGTTTTCCCCAAGGTAATACCAAAGGCCTTTACTGGAAACTAGGAAAGGGAGATAAATGGCAGTGTTGGAGCAAAAAATAGAAGCCAGCCCTTTTCAGCCTCAGAAATGAAGCCTGACTCCCTGAAGCAAGCACTGCTCTGAACTTTCACAGGCTGTAAATCATGTTGTGATAGAAAGGTCTCTGTGTATGCTCTTCCCAATAACCTCTCAAACCAGCAACACCATTTTTTTTTATTCCACTTTGCTTGTCTTCTTCCCCAACCCTGGCTTCATCCTTCTCTGTTTCTCCTTGGATATATAAAACTTCTGATTATTTCTATTCCTCTGCCCAAGGCTGCAACTCCCCATTCTCACTTCTACAGGAATGGTTCATTGTTTGAGATTTGTTCTAGTGCTAGCTGCTAAATGAGGCTGACTTCCCAGGATGAGGCATAGCATGTGATACTTAATGTATTAAATGGATATTAAACACAAGAGCCAAATGAGGGCAAAATACATTTTGTATTGGGTTATGCTGCAGGTTAAACTGGGCTAAGACTCACGATAGCTGCAAATCTAAGAGCAATGGTAGAATTACTAACAGACAAAGAAAGTAATGAAGATCAGGGAGGGACAGAGAGTTAAAAAAGAAGGGTGAAAAAAATTAAAACCCAAGATATCTTAAAAATGAAACCTACCAGCTGGGAATCTGACATGAGGAAGGAGGAGTGCAACTTCCTTTTTAGTTGTCAAGTTCTCATTTTTCTTTTCTCTCTGAGAAGTTTCCATAGGGCCAGGGCTGATTTCCTGGGCTAAGAAACTGAAGATCCGTTCAGAGCATTTCTGAGCTCCCAGGAATTCTCAGGGTATCGCCAGTGCTCCCAGTGTTCAGCACAACATTCTTTGACAGACAGAGGGTGAATGAGCAGTTGGGAAATGTGCAGTAATTTATTGGTGTCTCCCTCTGCAACTAGGGACCTGAAAGGCCCACCTTTCATGTGGCAAAACTAAGGACAGGGCCAGTGTTCACACTGTGATTAAATGGCATCAGAAATCACCTACGCTGAGGTGAAGTTCAAGAATGCATCACCAACTGCAGCAGTTGAAGGTAAGGAATGGATGGGTTACTCAGGGGGAGGGGACCTTGGGGGGGGGGTTGGCTGAAGAACAGGGATAAGAAACTTTTCCTTCTGTGACTCTGGTTCCTACATGGTCTTGAGAAATCGGTGAGAAAAAGGAGCAGTCTATCATTACATGAGCAGAAGACTGGAGGAGTTTTGGAGCAAGAGGATCAAGGAATGTCTACAAGAGGAGAGGTGGGACTCTTTAGGTGATTGGAGTTGCAACATGAACAAGGATGACTACTGGGAGCACAGACAATAAGATTCAAATGAGCATTCAGTAAGGAACCTGTTTGGGCTCCCTTAGTCCCCTGGTTGCAACACCAACAGTGGCAAATAGTAGAGGGTCCAGGATGGTTGCTGTACAGTAATAGTGCTTGGCTCTGGTACAGCACAGGTATTATCTGCCTCCTTACATATTATGTTGTTGGATGAGAGAGTAATTTTTGGACAAATACTGAGTACCAACAATAGAGACTATGGTTTATTACAGTCTGGTCTGTTACAAAGGTGGAGGGGCTCCCACAGCAGCAAATGGCAACAAATAAGTCCAAGACCCTGGTTACTACTGATCTTGCCTCTCAGAGAGTGAGGCTGCAGATTCTGGCTTCTGGAGAGAGCAGCAGTAGAGACTAACGTCTCCTTACAGTGGACAGTCAGTTGCCTCTGCAGCTCCATGAGAGGTGGCACTGACTGCAGAAACTTAGACTTCCATTGTCCTTGGAGAAGAGAGTCCCAAAAGTTAAAAGTAAGAATGGGCTTGAAAAAAACACCCTAAAAGATACAGAGGAAGAATTTAATTCAGTGATTGATGTCTACCACTACTGATAAATAATTAACACACCAAATGCAAATTTATAATGCTTTAAAAAAATCATGTTTGTAAAATGGTGCCTTTGCTAGATTTTATGCAAGTTTAAGTCATATTCTGATCAGTATATATTCTGCAGTCATTATGCCACAAGTACGAGCACACAGAGATTTCCCGTGTATGGCTCGTTTCTTCCACCCTTAGATACAGGACCCTACACAACAGCAGGTTCCAGAGGGATGACTGGTCAGATCTATTGTCTGACATAGATGGGTGGACTCCAAATCATGATCCGGGTCCTTGTTTTCACTACAGACAAAAACTCTGCATAGAAAAACATGATTTGGCCAGGGAAATCTGGGTCTTGTCTGTCTATGAATGTTTTCTCTTCTGATAATGAAAGATGATGCTTTTTGACCTGCTGCAGCAACCTCCCCCAGGCCTTTGGAAATTAGTCAGAGGGATTCCCCAATCAGCAGGTGTCTGGAAATCTTGCTTATTAGGCATGATGGCAGGTACATGTGGCTGCCGACAGACTTAGGAGTTTCATGCTGAACAAGATCTGTCTAAAGCTTATCACTAATCTCTCCAAAACTTCTTTACTTCTGTCCTGCAGGGATGTGCTGCTGTCTCTTTACCCTCCTGTTTGCCCTGGCTTGTGTACCTGCCACAAGCTAGAACAGTCTCCTAACAAGCATTTGCTTCTCCTTCCCTATGACCCATTCTCCTGCCTGCTCCCAAACCTCCTCAGTACTGGCAGTATTCATCTAGACAAAGGTCAGGCACCAGCAAGTCTGAATCTGAGTGGAATGCTTTACTCAGGCTGCTGGACACAGCCCTCTGTTCTCCCCAGGCATCCAGCCTTGCACAACCTAGTTTTACTACAGCAAATCTCTGAATTCTGGCTTGGAAAGCAGAGATGGAAGGGAATTTTTTTGTTTTGTTTTGTTTATCTTGCAATGACTCTGTGCCATCACAGCTTTGCACATTTTTTGTCTCCTGTCCTTATCTGGCTTACGCCACCTTTTTCTACACAGAAAGTCCAAAAAGCTAAGAAGGAACTGAAGCAGGCATAAAAATTTTTCTGGGGAGAAAGAAGAAGTCAACATGAAATCTTCATATGAATGTCTCAAGTATCACAGATAGAGAGATGTTGTATTTGGCAGCTTTGGTCTCAATCTAGAAATACATGGTTTCAATCCAGATATTGAGGTCTTGTGAAGGCCTCACCCCCAAACACTAGCAATTAGCTTTGCCAGTTCACCAGCTTGGCTGGGATCTGTGAACACGGTCGCTGAACCTGACCTTCTCCAGAAACCAGGGATCCCCTGCTCTGTCCCAATCTGCCCTTCTCCCAAACTGTGTAACTTCCACATCAGAACAAAATTACATTTTTTTGGAGCCGCTCTCCTTTGAGTTATACATCCTTGGTATGTGGACTGACTAAAGCATCACTGACTGTGGTGCTGTGTTTGGTGTGTTTCTTCACTTTTAGTACCTCCTGAGACAAAGAAGCATGAGCGTCATCCCCAGAAATACCCGCAATGGCTCCCGTGGCTGATTTCACTGCTGCTCCTCTTGGTGTGCATTGCCCTTGTTATTACTCTCCTTGGTGAGTATGTGCAGGCTGGTTACAGGAGACAGGTCTGGGGGGAAGTGTTGGGAGAAAAGCAGAGAAATCAGAGCCCAGAGGGCAATCTCTTCCAACCAGGAGGCAGCTTTTACTCAGGAACAATTTTGTCATGAGAAAGGATGCAAGCACCAATATTTGGGCTCAGAAAACCTGAATGTTGAATATTTGAAATGTGTTTTTAGGAGCAAAATCTCTCCTGACTACTTAAACATTGGGGATTTAAGGGTACAGTTGTGACATGACACAGACTTCTCCCTTGTGGGCCAGCCAAACCAGATGTTTTGGCCAGCTGGTATGTGGGAGCTAGGACTACCACAGGATTATGCCAGATGGTTCTGTTATACCCACTCTCTTTCTTAGAATGATGGAAAGAGTTAGGTGGGAAGGGGCTTCTGGAGGTCTCTAGTCTAATGCCCTACATGAAGCATGGGCATCTTCAGAATTTCAGGGTTGTTTGGACTTTCTGTAAGGTCTCAGGCTTTTCTGCCCTGACTTTGTATACATCTATATACATCCCCCAAATATTCCACTGTTTACTCTGAGGCCTTTTCAGTGTTCGCAGATTGCACATCCCTATCTTGCACCATCTCTTTGGAACTGTGGAACAATTCTCTACCTTCATAACACACAAAAAAGAACTTAATTACATTCAGCAGAGGGGTCAAAAAATGGAGATAGAAGAACAAGTGTCTATATAGGCAGCTGCATCTGCACTTGAGCTCTCTAAGGTGCTTGGACATGCTTCACATCCTAATGGAAAAAATGGCTTTTTACAGTCCTGGCATCTCTAGGATTAACTGTGCAGTACAAACTCTCACACCTTTTTAGTGTTAATTGCAGTATACTAGAATATTTCATAAAAAGTTATTCTTGCACACAATGTTTGTGGAGATGGTGATCACTGTTTCATTCTTTTTTTCTTCCAAAGGTCATTCATGGCATGTTTGTACAAATTGTCAATAAAGGTGATGGATTCTGGAAGAGGCATATTGTCTGGATAAATTTCTGCCCTTCCTTTTGCTGTCATTAGTACCCGAGTCCCAGAAGTTTGTATTGCTTTCTTCCCAAATGTATAACTTTTCACAGGACTCTGTCAAACGTTTGGGGAGTTCTAGGTTGGGCTGTTAGAGTCTGATAGAGTCTGGCCAAGGTTTTTTAGATATTTCACACATGGAAGGTTTAATCTTTAATGGCAAATTTACTTATCCAAGTTAATTGATGTTGTATAGGATTTTGATTTAGCAGGGTGCTACAGCAATGTATTTAATGAAAACATGAGAGTAGCAATTTCAATGCACAGTTGAATCATGATACAAATGTGATTCTAATTACCAGCCTCTTTGATATGCTCAACATCAAGACACTAGGTGTCCACAGTGACCAAGAAGAAATATGTGGGTTAAAGCCAGTTCAGGCCCATTGCTTTCTTCAGAGATGTTTTTGTTATTAATTCATTTTTTTACACTACTTTGGGCTAAGCCATGTATACACTCCCTCCATGCTGATCTGGCTAACTTAGGAAGACATTGCTCTCTTTTTGATCTTTCTGAGAGATGAACAGTTATACAGCTGGTCAATTCACTCAGCTGATAGAAACGGTTGATTCACTGAACTGAACTAGAAGAAAGGCCATCCTCTGGTCCCATTTGTATTGAGAAGAGGTCACCTTTCTTTGCAACAGGTGTGGCCAGTCACACATCACCCTTGCCCATCTTTTCTTCCATTACAGGAATTTACGAATCAGGCACAAAGGCTACTATGATTACTCTGCCCTTCTCACTAGTAATATTTCTAAATGAAATGGTTGATAAAAATAGACATCTGTATTACTTAGCACACCCTGATCAGCTTCCAATCAATATCCTTGAATGTTTGAGTTAGTTAATGATAAGTCCTTCCGGTTGTGGATGTGGCCTGCTGACACTAGTCACCAACACTATTATTTCCCATAAACTGGCTAGTAAGTCCTAGGAGTTTACCTTCCACCCTGGTTTCACCAGCTCTAGCTATTATGTGATTACCTTCACCTGGACTGTCTTTGTTGCTGATGAAATAGGTCCATCTGATGTATTGCTTGCCCAAACTACTGTTGATGTCTAGCTTAGGAAGAGATAAACTGTGCCACTGAAGTGCTGCTTTGTATTCACCTATTGTAAAGAAATTTCAACAGACAGGTAGCTACATGGTAAATGCCTATGGTTGGGTGGAATCAATCCCACCCTGTCTGCCATGTCCTCGGTGTGATGTCCTTCCAGCGGTCCTTCTGCTCTCTGACATGCAAGATTGCCTCTTTCTGGCTGAGAGGGCAGCAGTACAACTTGTTTGGGCCCGTTTTCTCTGAGCCGTGGACCAGGGATCAACTAAGCCCACACCTTCAGCTCCACAGCACCCAAGGAGGCCTGATGTCAGCTGCTCCTGCTGAGACAGAGTCTGTTGACAAATCGCAGGCTGGCTATGGCCACCAGGCACTGCCTGGGTGGGCCACAGGCTTCTCTAGCTTTGTTGGCCAGGTCATCCTGGCTAGATCTTGTCAGTCAGTGGGTGGAGGAGTCCTTGCAGGCATCTGTGGGATGTTGGGAGCAGAAACACCTGTTCTCTTTGCTTGTGAAATGGAAAAAGACAGTCCAAGGAGAGGCGATGCTGGGACAGTGCTTGGTTGGGAAAAGGGAGAGGAGTGAAGCCCAGAGATAGTGTGTGAGGAGATGTGAGGGAGGGATAATCCTGCTGCCTTTCCTCTCCCTTTCCAGTTGCTCCCTCCTCCCACAGACGTGACCAGCCCACAGCACTGCAGCAGAATTTCATGGAGTGGCAGTGTGTCTTGGCAGTGCCACAAGACAAAGGTCAGTAGTGGTGGCAGGTGTGCAGAAGGTCTTTGGGAAGGGGACAATGAATGCTGGGGACTGTTCTGACAGCAAGCAGCAGCAGGAGCAGACTCCAGAGAGGCAGACTCCAGGGGAGAGAGATGGGGAGAAAAAGGATTTCCTGCTAACAGCTCAGGGGGAGGGCAGGGTGGCTGTGAACACTAACCAAACAAAAGGAACAGCATACAGAGGCACAGAGAAGGTTAACAATGGAGCAAAATGGAGAGAAGCAATGTCCCCTCTTCCCTGGGGCTAAAGGCCCAAAGGAGATTGCACAAGGAGAAGTCAAACCTGATCACCAAAATAACTTTGTCAAGACCTGAGATCATGTTACAAGGATTACCATGGATTTGTGTACATAAAGCTCACTGGTCATACCGCAAAGCAGTGAGAGAAAATATCTGTATTATCCGTGTTTTTTCTGTCAGGAAGAGTGATCTAAAGAGAACATGAGCATTGTCTCTGGAGAACAGGGATCCTTGCAATCACTATCTCTCTTGTTATTAGCATTCATCTCTGCGGTCTTTCTGTGCACAGACCAAGGCTGGACATGCTGCCCGAAGGGCTGGAGACACTTTCAAAAGAGCTGCTATTATGTCTCAGATGGTATGATGTCTTGGGTTGAGAGTGTGCAGAACTGCACTGGGATGGGCTCCCACCTCGTGGTCATCAACAGCAAAGCAGAGCAGGTAGGTGCATGGCTGAGAGAGGCACCCAGCAGCCAGAGACCCAGTGTCAGGCCATGGAGGGGACTCAGAGCCCCTCCTTGTTCTGCAGGGGAATGGAATGGCCTTTGTATCCCTTCAGCACTGGCCTCCCTCTGCCACCAGCCCCAGCCCATGGGCACTCCTCTGCTCAGTCCTGCACCTCATGAACATTGCACTCTCTTGATTTCCAGGTTTTCCTCTCTGAGGAGCTACGACAGTCTCCAGGAGATAATTACTACATTGGTCTGAGTGCAGAGAAGGTGGGCCAGTGGCACTGGGTGGACCAGACTGCACTTAATGTGACAGCAGCGTGAGTATCCCTGAATGGGGAGTGTTTGATGTGGCTCCTGGTAGTGCAAGAAAGGAGTGGAGATGTGAGGGTGTCTGTTGGTGCATGAGAGGAAGGTGAGACAAATCCTTGTGAGAGGTCAGTGATGGAGCAGGAAAGGGCTGTGTAGGACACCAGGTTCACACAACCCTATCTATGCTGGCTATTGGTTATTGACTGTATTATTGGTTATTGGTTATTAATTATACTATTAACTACCTGTGACATGGCCATTGTTGCAGTTGAGATGGATGCGGCACATTCATTGAGTTGCGAGCAAAGCCAAAAGCCAAAAGCCAAAAGCCTAAGTTTATTGTCTTACAAGCCTTATATATATATTTCTTAAACATATGTGTTCTTAGTTTATTGGTTCAACCCAAGCCCAACAGTTCATGATTGGATGACCTTATCCTTCTTGACACATCTGCTGTTTTTCTTGCTGGGTTTCTGCTGTTCTCATGTTCTGTTAAGTTGTTTACATCTGAAGTCCCAGCCTCTTCTTTCTCATGTGTACACGGCTATCTTATCAAGATGCAGTCTCAGCTACTTTTTCTTTCTCATGGGTACATGGCTGTCTTATCCAGGTCAGTGTCAGTTGTCTCCATCTCAGGGTCCTCAGGCCAGCTGTGGACCCCCACAGGCCATCAATGCTGGAGGCACAGAAGAAGATGCATCTTGTCAGCAGGAAGAACCCTTCAGAGATGGCCAGCCTTGCCTGACCTCCATAGTGTCCCTAGCATGCCTATGTGCATGTGTGTGCACGGGCACGGCTAGTGTTGTGATGCTGTGGAAGCGATGGGGCACCGGGACTGATCACCATGGCTGGCCTTGCTGTGACTTCTTCCAGAGGACAAACTTGCCCTAGAGTCAGACACACGCTTCTACTGGGTGTGAAGTGAATGGTGTGAGTGGTGGTGAGCAACTACCCCCACCAGGACTGAGCTGGGCCCAGTTGTGTTGGCTACAGAGAGAAGGCAGGTTTCCACATTAGACCGGTGCCAGTGGCATATCAGAGTGGGTGGGTACTGCTTCTGTCCACGAATAGGCATCTGGAATTTTTCTTTCCTCTCCAAGCCTTGCAGCCTGCTGTGGGCTTTTCCAACAGTGCTGTACAGGGTACACTGAGTCGTTACACATCTGTCTCTATCTCAGGTTCTGGCGGAAAGATGAACCAAGTAATAAAGATGATCAGAAGTGCGTTGTAATCCATAGGACTTCAGAACGACCCAACAACTGGAATGACGTCAAATGTGGGAGACATCATCGCATCTGTGAAGCTGCAGCAGTAACTGTGTGATGGAGATACCCTCATCCTGAGTAAAACTGAGAGATGAGCAGTGAGCTGGGAACAGTGCAGGGCTGTGTTGGGAGGGATGGGGGGCCATGGAGCCTGCATCTTCACTGTGCTGGGTGGGATGATGTGACTGGGAGTGATATTAGTCAGTGTCCAGCATCCCCAGTGCATGTAGTGGCTCAGGGAACACATGAAGTCTCAGGTTCATCAAAGCAGGTTCTGGGCTCTTGTGCCATCCTCACTGAGTGGGTTCAGCAGCCACTGGCAGAAAAGAGGTTGAGTTCTCTAGGAAGAAGACACAGGGAAGGAAGACAGATGTTCAGAGCTGCAATTTCCTTTGTCTCCTAGATCAGAGAAGTCTGCTTTTTGTTGAGTCACACAGAGAATGTCCTCTAGTTGCACTGGTTTTGTTGAATACTGATTTTTTATATAAGAGAAAATACAATATTAGACCAAGGAAAAAGGCTCTGTGCTGTGTGTGCATCTCTCTTTCTCTTTCCCTCTAAGCTGCAGGTGTTTTGTATAATCATAGAATCATAAAATGGTTTGGGTTGGAAGGGACCTTAAAGATCACCTAGTTTCAACACTGCTGCCATGGACATGGGCATTTTCCACTAGATCAGGTTGCTCAAAGCCCCGTCCAACCTGGCCTTGAACACTTCCAGGGAGGGGGCAGCCACAGCTTCTTTGGGTAACCTGTTCCAGTGTCTCACCACCTTCACAGTAAAGAATTTCTTCTTTATATCCAATCTAAATCTACCCTCTTTCAGTTTAAAGCCATTACCCCTTGACCTGTCACTACAAGCCCTTGTAAAAATTCCCTCTCCAGCTTTCCTGTAGGCCCCTTTTAAGTACTGGAAGGCTGCTCTAAGGTATCCCAGTACCCTTCTCTTTTCCAGGCTGAACAACCCCAACTCTCTCAGTCTGTCTTCAGAGGAGAGATGTTCTAGCCCTCTGATCATCTTTGTGGCCTGCTCTGGGTTCACTCCCCCAGGAGGAACAATCCACACCACCTTCCTCAGCCACTTCCCTGTATGCTCTATGGGGACCTTATCTCCTCCCACAGTATGTAGAGGGTTTGTTTGGGCAGGACCAGGATCAAAAGATGTTGCTGTGCCAGGATACAGCCTTATGCAACTACTGCAGTAGAATTTGCATCCACCCAGTAAGAGTAAATCCCTCAGAGACAACGTGGCTTCATAGTTCCATTGCACACAGCCAAAGCGCTGGAGGCAGCTGGGGACAGGAAACCACTTCTAGGGATATTATGAGTATTTGTTTCCATGATTAAAGGTCTTGTCCCAGAGAGTAACAGGAGCTTGTGCCAGAAGTCTGACCAAGGTCAGGTCATGCTTAACCTGGAGTTGTCTCCAGTGGCAAAATGACCGGTGCCTTCAGTGCCACCTCGAGGAAGAAGTCCTCTTCCCAGCTGAGAGCTGATGCCAGAATCACCAGATGCAGCAGCCTTCCTGGGAGGCCAACACCTCAGCTATCCCTGTAAAAGCATACCTGCCCACGTGAGACCATGCTGTGGAAGAGGCAGGAAGCAGCAAGCTGCTGCTGCACATGAGGTCCCTACCAGAAGTGCATTGCCTATTGAACTGCCTTCCTGTTCTCCCGCAGACCATATGCCACCATGGATCCCACCTTTTCTCCACCCATTCCCACTTCACGGACCCTGTGCCCGCACTTCTATTTGCCTCAGGAAACATAATCTGCCTAAGCTTTCCTGACCAAACAGTGCCAGCTCCCCACAGTGCACTGGTGTGCATCTCCTGGCTGTGTGACTCTGTCTTACCTATGAAAGTGAATTGTCTCTCTGTGTCCTAAAGAGAGGGGAGAATTTGTACTGGAGGTAAGGTGACCAGGAGATTTCTCTTTCTATGCCACTCAATGGGAGTAGTTCTGTGAACGGCACCGGGTGGTAGCAGGAGCTGCTGAATCCTGTAGCCCAGCAGAGGCAAGGCTGCTGCAGCTTCATGTCCCCCAGCTCAGATGGTAGTGAGACTAAGCATTTATGTACAATATGTACATATATGGATACATATGGAAGAAAAAGGATGTATATATATAAGCAACCACACAGGGCAACACAGGCAGAAAGCACTGACACATACACAAACAGCATGAGTAGCTTGAGCCTGTTCCCCTCCCTGGCTGCTAGCAGGCTTTCATCCTGATAGCAGAAAAAAAAATATATTTACACGTATGGACCTCTTCAACAGTAAGGCTTAGTCATTCAGTCTATCCATAGCTGGCCTCTGCATCCCCTGGTCTTCTCTATACAAGGTCTCATGACAGACACAAAGAGAAAAAGGTCTCTCCTGTAGCTGGTCAAGATTTCTGGTCTTCCTAGTAGATGCTTCTCAGATCCCCTGGTTGGCCTGGGAGCTGGCTTGGTCCTCTGCTCCATTTTCAGTGGTGAAGATCCTGGCGTTCATAACTGCCTGATGCTGTTCAACCGTGTAGTCTGACATATGAGAAGAGTCTGGAGTCCTTTTTTGGAAACTAGCTACCCCCACCGGTTGACGGAGGTATTTCCACCTGTGTAGTATTGACACTTCTAGGGATCTGACTTAATTCTACAGGATACCGTCAATAACACAAGTCGACCTGAAGCAGTGTCACTGACAACTGTCAGAAAGGTCAGCAGAGACTTGTGATGGTATCAGGGAACTGGAGAAGTGCAGTGCTGGAAATAGCCTCCCTTCTCCCTCCTGGTGTTCTGGTCCTCTCTAGCTTCACAGTACAGAGGTATGTCTCATGTAGAACAAAATCCTTCTTTGCTGCCACTTGAGTTAATGTCTTGAAGTGTCCTCTGGTGGGTACATGACCACTGTGCTCTTCACAGGTTCTTTGCAGCTAAGATGCTTCTTCCCCCTTCCGACTGCTTTTTCCCAGTACCACGCTTCATATCTCCTCTCAGGTCTTACTTAACAGATTTATTTTCACTGTTTCTCTTACTTTGCCTTGGACTCCTCCCATTCCATTCTGTCACTGTCTAAGCCCAATGCTCTAGCTGTGAGCAGAACAGCACAATTTACCTCCTTCCACTATGTTGTACATCTAGCCCCCAAGTTAATATGCCTCCTCTGGAGATCTGCTGCTGGACAAGGAGTTTCCTCCTCTACTTAGGAAGTTTTATGAGGGCCAAGCTCACCCTTGCAAAGCAGCATTTTAATCACTCCTCTCATGGTTTATTTCGATGTTACATTTCTCCTCCATAGTGTAATCATCTGTGTCTGCCTTCCAAGGATTTTATCTTCTGTTTTCAGTTAATTTCTCTGATTTCCAGAGCACTTGTCCTCCCAGCTTGTTTCTTGGCCTGTTGGCTTGTCCCTTCTCAAATTTTCATGTCTACTTTTCTTCCTCATGGGGCTTTTGATTTTTGCATTAGTGGACTGAAATAGTCTATGCTTTGTGTCCTTTTGAACAGACTCTGAAAAACTAGGTAGGGAACAAAAGAAACCCAGTGGTGAACCACCTTGGTGATCCAACTGCTTCCTGTCACTTCACAGAACGTCTCTCTACCTTCCTTGAGAGTTCTTGCACAAGAGTCCTGGGGTGAGGCTTTCTGCCTAAAACATCTGGAAGATGAGGTTTCATAGACCTAGGTCCTGCCTGACCCTACATGCTGTCATTTCAAGAACGGTGACATGTGACAGTACCTCCTCCTGGCCCTACAAGTGAGGGCCTCGTCATCTGCAAGCTAGAAAGTATCCTCTCTAGTGGCACAGCTCCTCCCAAGCCCATTCTGGGGTTCTGGGATCAGGTCTACCTGGAGGGGACCTCCTTGTCTGGGGTCTTTAGCAATGTTCCCACTAGTTTCTGACTTTTGCTGTGCAGGACACACCTTTAGCCCTCATTCTGTGACAATTCTTAGCATACAAGAATAGCAAGGAGCAGATTTCTTTTCTTCTCTTCTCCAGAAAAGAGCCAGACCAACAAAGGGAAGGTTAAGCCTGCAGTGGTAAAGCTAGCTGAAGGTGCACAGCCCTTGAATGACAGAGCTGACTGGCAGTTCCCTCTGCCAGATGTGGACAGTCTGGGGTGATCTGCAGTGAGCAGCACCACCTACCAGTTCTGAACACGGCCCTCTTGGCTCTAGGAAGAAGGCAGGACTGATGCCAGTGGGATTAATGGAGTAAGAGGGCAGGGGTTTCTGGATGAATCAGCATTTGGAAGAGTCCATCTCCATGTCCCTCTAAGCTCTGGAATCCCCAGGACCTGGATATGGCCTTTCCTTGCAGTGCTTGACAAGGTCATGCTGGAGGGTAACATGTCTCCAGTTCTAGAGGCCTGGGGAACCAACTAATGTAAATGATGAAGCATGTCTTGTAGTCCACTGGAAGTCAGAAGTACACCAGAGCTGGAACAATCTTCCACATGAATGACAGCCACTGTCTTAAAATTTCTGAAACTGCAGCATCAACTGCCTGATGGAGGAAACCTCATCCATAAAACTGAGAGACCAGCAGTGACCTGACAAAAAACACAGGAATTTTTGAATGGGTGTGAGTGCTGGAGCCCACATCTTCACTCTGCTGAATGGGAATTCTGAGTGGAAGAAATATGGTCAGGCAGTTGGTGAGTACTGACCTTCTGTTCTCCAGGCTGAACAATTCTAACTCTTAGCCTCTCTGCATAGGAAAGATGTTCCGACAGGTACTCCATTTGCTTTTTCAAGGCATAGGAAACTTCTCTCAATTACTTCAGCCTGTCAAAGATACTGGCTTTGCAATGAGATTGGCTTTTTTCTGTAGCTTATTTGGACACATGATTAGTGGTATGGTCAGCTGCCTGGGTAACAACCTGCATAGAACTGTCCAGCATTGTCCTTGTACCTTTGGTGACTATCCAGAAAATAGGCCATATTCCCTCTGTCTTCTTGGTAGGATTTACTCCGTGGCCTACATTCACTATCTAGTGCAAGGTTGGGTGTGCTGCATGATGGGCTAGAGATGCTTTCAAAATTGCTGCTATTACGTATTGGCTGAACAGATGTCCTGGAATGAAAGCAAGGACACCAGCACAGGGTTGGGCTCCCACATGGTGGTGATCAATACAGAAGCAATTCAAGTAAGAGAGAGTCTTCTCATGGGATTCTTCCAAGTAGATCCTCAGATCAGCCAGTGTTTGCTCTCCTGAAGTCTTTGCTTGTGATCCTGGGTTTTGCCCCGCTTCCTCCTCACAAGATCATGAACTCCAGCATCTCATAGTCACTACAGCCAAATCTGCCCCCCAACCTTTACATCCCAAACCAGAATGTATACATTTGTAAGTGTGAGATCAAGCAGAGCATGTCTCCTCATCAGGTCCTCCATAACCTGTGTCAGGACGTTACCATTAAAGCACTCCAGAGACCTCCTGTATTGCTTGTACTTTGCTGCTGAAAACAAAGCTTGGAAACTGCTGCACAAACTGCTAAATCTGCTTCTGTGTCCTGGTTTGGGCTGGAATGGAGTTGATGTTTCTTTTTGGTAACTAGAATAGTGCTGTGTTTTGGATTATATGAATGCCTCTTCTATGAATACACTTGTTATAATCAAGCATCACTGTCTTCAGTGGTTGAGGGGCAGAAGTCCCTGGCAACTCTGCACTGCCAGGTGCCACCCTGTTGTCCCAGCACACTGATCTGACACATATATTTGTGAAGTAAAATAACCAAGTCACTTGTGAAGTTCTTCACGACTGAAGCAGGAAGAAAACAGCTGAGAATCATTACTTACAGAACTGTGGAAAGACATACAGAGTGAGGTCACTGATATATGTTCTCCCCAAGCATGCTGCTGGTGTTTATGGAGCAGAAAAGAGAAATAAGTTCCTTCCATTTTGGAAAGATAATATATTTGCGATGGTTCCAGAGCCTTCCACAGAGGGGGTAGCCTCTCCCATCACTGCTCCCAGCTGCCTGGCACCAGGACTACTAAGAAGTTTCTTTGCAGGCCTGTGCAGAACTTGGCTACTGTCACCAATCTGAGACTCTTTATCCTGGAGTGGGATAGAGCTGTTAGTCACCTGAATGTTGTAAGGCCAGCTGTTGATTTGCTGGGAGCAGTAGCTTGGTTTGTAACACTGAAAAGAAGGTAGTTTGCCATCTCTCCACTTTAGACCCTGTGCACATACCAAAGTGAATTCACATGAGGGTGCTTGCACAGACCTTCACTGTGGTCAAATATCCTGGATAGCAACAACTGATAAAATAGGAATGTGAATGTAAACAGCTGTGGGAATTGAATACCTGAAACTATCTGAGATGCCATTTGCCCCAAACCCACCGTTGTTAAAGAAGAACGTGACCACTAGCTTAACAGTAACCAGGGAATTAGCAAAAGGCTTTTTAGAGAGAGAAGAATCAGTCTGAAAACAAAGTTTATAAGAAACAAGAACATTTTTAACAGAGGGAAGAGAGAGAAGTGGGAAGGAAGTGGCAGTCGACACCTGATTTGACAACTGCCCTGCAACTTTGCAGCCTCGACCTGTAACAGCTGCCCGTTCATCCTCCCCGTTGGATGCTATGGGTAGCCTGCATTCCTGGAAGTAAGGGGTGCAACCTGTACAGACCCACAACTTCAGTGTGCATATGTGACCTTGTGCTTTCTCACTGACCTGTGAGAAAGCAGACTGTAGGAAGTGGTGTGGATGAACATGAACTGTATATCTCCAGCAGGAAGTGTGTGAGAATAGGGGAACCCTTGTTCCCAGAAAAGGGGATGTGTTCTTGCAGCCTGTACTTCCTGTGGTGGGGGTGGGAGATGGGAGGTTGCACAAGTAATCACATGAATGTGTGTGTATGTGGGGGTTAGAGCTTTTCGGGAATAGTTATGTAAAGATGTGCAGAAATTTGTAGGTGTTTATTAATATTTTGTGTCTGGTATTGTGCCTTATGTGTTGGATTGCTGATACTCATCCTGAATATACAGGCTGTGGTTTGTCAGTTAATTACATGTCATGAATAAATCAGTAAACTGCTTAGATCCATCCTGATTAGATTTAAACCACATGAACTGTGCACATTTTCCTTCTGACAGTTTTGCACCCTTTGCGTTCTCCATACCAATCAGCTGAAGTCAGTTCCCTGCCCATATGAGCAAGTATATTTTAGAGCAATAACAAATACAATGCATTCTCATTTCTGGGCATCTGTGGTGCAATTCAGTTCCGTTCTCCATCATGTCAGCTGGGAACTTTGTAAAATGCCACTTGAGAATCTCTCACTGCACTGTGAATCCAGTAGCTAGTGCCTTCTAGTAGCTCATACTTTCTACAACTATAGCAGCAAGCACATGTATGGACCATCTTTCCAATGCAACAGAGTTGTTGGATGATTTGACCCTGCCTGCAGCCTGTTGTGCACACAAAAAACATACTCAGAGGATATTTTATATATACAGTTTAGGCTTGTCCTCATTTGTAACCAGCCTTGTGCCCTGCTCTTTTAAGACTTCAACTTATACGCTTGTGCTTTGCGTTAGCTATCCCATTCCTTCCTCAGCACATCCATGCATGCCTCTTCACAGGGAGAAAAAAGCTGCTGGAACATGGAAGAGCAAAGGCTGCGTATCCACCTCAGTCCATTCAGAATACAATGAGTTCCAGTAGGGATTCTTTATCCTTAGGGGTATCCTAAGGGACACTTTATCCTGCAGGGTTTTGAATCAAGTTGCCTTGAACAGTGATAGAACCACCACGTATGGCTGTGCCTTTTGTAGTCATGACCAAGTAAAACTTCATGATTTGTAATGCATGGGGATTCTGGCACCGTCTAGTGATCCTTTTTGGCCACCAGCTCTATAATGACAGGTCATATGCGATCCTTCCACTCAAAGCTCTATCTTCTTTCCATGATTAGTTAAAATCAGTGTTGGCTAATTCTTTGTTGTGCTCTGGGTTACTGGGCTCAGGTTTCATATGAGGACTTGCCCAGATTGAGTCACAGATATGTTTTCTTACTGTTTTTTGACTCCCTTTTGCAGGACGTTCTGAGTAGGTTTAGCCCTGCCCTAGCAAATACCAACAGCATAGGCATTTTCACACACGTACTCACTCACCAGGAAAGAACAAACACCAGTAAAGCTAGTAGTATGTCCTATGAAACTGCTTGAATATGTGCAAAAGGACGTTATTTGACCTGGAATGATGCTATTCTTAATCTGTTTTCATTTGCCTCTGTGAATTTTTGTGTTGCAACAAACGTCTTGTGAAATGACCTGGTAGAGAAATTATGAAAATTCCCCCATCTCCATGTGCTGTGGGGACCACCCAGGATATGGCTTTTTCTGCACACTGGATTAGAGATTGCGAAGGCTCCTCACCAGTGTGGGAGCTGCCCTAGTACAGTCTTCTGTGCAGGAAGAAGGCTGTATTCATGGCCACATTGGTAATGTGGACTCTCGGAGGAGTGATACTGCACTAGAGAGAATGAATCACCAAGAGAGAGTCAGACCTGGAACTGCAGGTAACCACAAAGCCTTTCTTTCTGTCCTCCTGTAGAAGAAGGAGGAGGTGAGGGAAAATACAGGGCTGGGATAGATAATGAGTGTGGTACAGTGGCTGGCCTCATACCAGGAGAAGGGGCTTAGGACAAAAAAAGCAACAGATGAGGGAACTGGGAGTGCCTGGGCTGGAAGAATGACTATTTTCCAGGAGCCAGGGGAAATGAAAGTTCAGGCAGACTATGGTCTGCCACCCCCTTCAATGGTTTTTCTGTAAATGATGGGACTGAAGAGTGCTATCCTACTATCATTATTCAGGTAAAACTATCTGCATCAAGCTAAGCACAAGTCACTGCTCCCATCTCTGCTGTCTCTAAGGAGAACCAAGCTTTCCCAAGAGCTTCAAAGTACCCATTCTCCCTGTGGAAACAATCTCTTCTGTGTGTCTGCCTCTACAAACACTGAGCTGGACAGTCACTCCTTTGAGTGACAAAGGAAGATGTGTTGAGGAGAAAGGAGGTGTGACAGAACAAAGAAAGGAGGAGTGCAGTTTGGGAGGAGTACAGACAGGGCTTGTGATTGATAAAAAGTGAAATAAAAGAGCAGCTTCAGGGCAGCATGTTCCCCTACTCTGTGGGCCTGACCCACTGCTAATGATGGGCAGCAGGACCTGGCTATGGCAGGCCCTGATTACGGCATCTGTGGGGCTCCCCAGTCCTTGGAACATGGGTATCAGCAGGTTTTTGGGTTATGCAGCCACCTGGGTTATCCTGCCCCCAGCTCTGGTTTGGGGGTTTACCACTCTTGCCTTGTGTTTTTCAGCTCCAGCAGAAGAGAGAAGCTGCTCCTGGCTAAACCCCTGGGTCTTCCTTGTTTCTGTCCTTGCCATCAAAACTGCCTTTGTAACCATCTGCCTTGGTGGGTTCCAGGGTTTCTTAATTCCCCGGGGATGAAGGGAGCAGTTGACTGCCTGTTGTCAGATGGAAAAACAATATTCTAGTCTCTCTGCCAGCTTGTTCTGCTGCCCCTCTTCCACCTTTGCCCTCTTAATCAGGGAGTAGGGGCCCTTCCACAGTTAAGGTTTGTTCCCTGACAGGGCCTTCCCACTGCTCCTCTCACTTTCCCACCTGCCTGAATAAAGCTAGTCCTGGATGAAACCACCCAGTTTCTCCCCTTTCACCAAGAGCTGAGAAGTCTCTTTAGTGTCAGAGGGCACCTGAGTAGGTTCCACAAAGGCTGGCTGTTGGATTTTGGTTCTCCTGATCTGGTCTGTCAGAGCTCCTTGTGACAAAGTTGCAGCCAAAGAGCCAGTGTGATGTCCTTGGAAATACTGGTAGCAGGTTGCCCATATTTTAGCAGGGTGGGGGTGAATCCATCAAAATACGCCAGCTGCATCCCACCCACACTGCCTGGACCAATGAGAAGGAAAATCCTTTGCTTGTACTGTCCTGGAGTATCATATTGCTTTGTGATGACTCTTCTGTGCTGCTGTTTAACTCCTTTGTGTGAGCCTCAATACTCAATAGTTCTACCCCTTCCCGATAAAGGTAAAAGTGTGGCTTTAAAGCTGTAATGGCCAGGAAAATCAAGAGGGAACATATATTAATATTCCACCTTTATTGAGCTTATCTCATGACTTCTTTGACTCTTTCCTGAACCCATCTTCAAAGGATGTCTAAGCTAGTTTTATCAGCTGGGAAATGAGGGTCTCAGCAGAGGGAAGAGGAGCTCATCTGATTAGTGTTTGTTCAAAGGACGGAGTGACCAGCAGTGGGAGAAACAGCCTGCTGTTTCTCATCTGCTTGTTCAATACAGGTTTCAGAGCTTGTTAACATAACAGAGTCTCTGTGGGGGCTCTAATTCAGAAGGTAGAGGATAGAACAAGTTGCTCATGAATGAGCACAAAAGGATGACAGTAGTACTTTCTGTCTCTTTCCTCTCTTCCCAGTTATTTTCCTTCATGGAAGTTATGGCCAGAACAAGATTCTGCTCCAGAATGATCCAGAATGGCGCTGCATCCCCAATGTATCTGCAGGCAAAAGTGAGTGATGCTAAGAGCCTCATGAGAAACACCAAGAACCTCACCAAAATTTACTGTGGTGTCAGTCGGCCTTTGAGTTTGGGAGGGTGATTGTCAGCCAAAGCTGGATTGTTTTAAGGAAGCAAGCTGGAGAATTGAAGAAAGAAATTGTTTTTACTTAGGATGCCATGAAAACATGTTCTGGTTCAGTGGAATGGAAGAGGGTGGGTTGTTCCAGACCTACATTTGACCACCCTTCCTACTTTTCCCCTATGACTGGCCCTCACAAAACCCCTCAACTGCTAGTCCAGTTCACTAATCTTGCTGAAAGCGCTTCATCCTTTTGTAAGGGCTAGTTCAATCCAGCTCCACTCGCTGTGCTGGCTCCCTGCTTGTTCACACAAGCATCATGGTCAGTGCGAGGGACAGAGGCAGGAGTGGTAGGAGCATGTTGCCATGCAGTTTAGAGTAGCTGGACTGCTGGGCTGCAGTCACACATGAAGTGATGGCAATGGCAAGTGCTAGAATCCTGTAGTGCAAACTCCCGAACTCAGCTCAGTCATTTATTCTCATGTAGCCTCATTCCTGGGGAGAATGTATCTCTGTTTTTTTAATCCGCCCTGTGACTTTCTATAAGGCAGATCTCTAGGAAAACCTGGCTAGTGTAAGGAACTGCCTGTGGTGGCAGCAAGGCTGCCAGAGCAGTTTACTGTACATGTCTGTCAGTCTTCATGAGTTGAGAGTTAAACACTTGGACAACACTTCTCTGGTGGAATTGTTCCCAGAGGAGCATGAACCATCTTGCTTTCTCAGGAGCGGTAAGGCAGAAACTGTGTCTCTCAACAAACAGAAGTTGTACAGACATGGCAGAGCAGATAGAGAAAGGGAAGGGCATTTCAGGCAGGGGCTTTGTGGCAGAAGCCTGTCAGGGTGTTGACAGCTTTATTTGTGGAGTGTTTACCTCTGTCCAATTTAAAAGCGTGGTTCAAACCCCTCCTCTAGCACCTGGGAACCTACATTGAGCTCAGGAAGATGAAGGACAGCACATCTTGTTCAAAAGCGGGATTTTTTTTCCTCCCACAGAAAAGGGCTGGATGTGCTGCCCGAAGGGCTGGAGATACTTTCAAGAAAAGTGCTATTATCTGTCCACTGATAGGATGTCTTGGGTTGAGAGTGAGCAGAACTGCACTGGGATGGGCTCCCACCTCGTGGTCGTCAACAGCAAAGCAGAGCAGGTAGGTGCATGGCTGAGAGAGGCACCCAGCAGCCAGAGACCCAGTGTCAGGCCATGGAGGGGACTCAGAGCCCCTCCTTGTTCTGCAGGGGAATGGAATGGCCTTTGTATCCCTTCAGCACTGGCCTCCCTCTGCCACCAACCCCAGCCCATGGGCACTCCTGGCTGCCTCCCTCTGCTCAGTCCTGTACCTCATGGATGTTGTGCTTTTTCCAGGAGTTCCTCTTCAACTTGGCAAAAGGAGTATTTACTAATACCTATGAAACAAAATACTACATAGGCTTAACTGCTTACAATAATGGGCAATGGCAGTGGGTGGATCAGACTCCATACAAGAAAGCAGCCACGTGAGTATACCGGGGGAATGAGGAAGGTCCTGCAATTCACACTCCTCAGTCCAAGTGACCAATACACTGAGTAAGGAAGGTATGTGTCAGAGTGGGATTTCTGTCTCCAACTGCCCTATAAGTCAAAAAAAGTGACCAGTTTTCTAGTCAAAACTATGACCCTAAATCTGTCACAGTAACTTTCCCCTTTCTCTTCCACAACTGTTTGAGGTGACTTCACCCCCACTGTCATGCATGGCAATGCATTCCCAATAGAGGAACTTTCTTTTACAGGTTCTGGAAACCTGGGGAACCCAATTTGCTCTTTGCAGAAAAATGTGCTGCAATTCACATCAAGGGAAACACAGACTCCAGCACTTATAGTAACTGGAATAACATTCTTTGCTTCACAAGTTGCTATCGAATTTGTGAAATGGCAGTCAAATTTGTCTAAGGAAGGAAATTTCACTTTGGATGAAGGACTTGAAGGAGTATCCTTGAGAAAGGGCAGCTCATGAAATATCTGATGAAAAGCTAGCCTCAGCTCACACAGATGCTTTATCTTGTGATGCAGGATGAGCAAGCCTGCCACAGAATCTGAACTTTGAAGGACCTCAGTTCCCAGCCTGTGCCTCTGCATCTCTTTTCAAGCTGGATATCAGTCCTGGATGAAATCACTCAGGCTAATGTCAAGGACCTACTGTGCCCCTTTTCACTCTCCTTCATAGGAGACACTTAACACACGGTCGTGCTTTGAGCCTAGTCGGCAGCCAAACACCACGCAGCCACTTTCTCCCCCTTCTCTTCTGGCAATGAGAAGGGACAGATGAGACAGGCTTGGGTTCAAGATAGGACTGGGATGGGGAAAAAAAACACCCTTCATGGTCATGAGCAAAAGGCAGACTTGTTAGGGGAAGAAAAAAAGAACATACATTTATTACAGACACTAACAACAGATAACAGAGTAGGACAGTGAGAAGCATTGCCACATCTTGAGAACACCTTCCCCCCACCCCTCCCTTCTTCCCGGGCTCAGCTCTGCTCCCGATATCTCTACCTCCTCCCCCAGTGGCGCAGGGGCAGGGGATGGGGGGTGCAGTCAGTGCTGCCACTTCTGCCATCTTCGGTGGGGGAGCTTCTGGAACTTGTTCCCCCTGCTCCATCGTAGTCCCCCTCTCACAGAAGACAGTCCTCCACAAACTTTCTCCGACATGAGTCCCTCCCACAGGCTGCAGCATTTCCTTACAATGCTCTGGTGTGGGACACCAACTTTCTCCAACTGGATTCTCTCCCATGGGCTGCAGCCCTTCCCGAGCTGCTCCGGCGTGGGACACCCCCGCATGCTACAATCCTCCCAGTGCTGAATTACAGCAGTGGAGCTACCTTTTCCCACAAGACCCCGGCCTTCTTCGGGCACAGCACCTTGATCAACCAGGCGAAACAAAACACAGGCCATAAATCAGTGTCTGCTCCACCGTAGATCTCCATGGGTGGCAGGGGGGGCTGCCCTGCCGTCTCCCCACAGGATACAGGGGGGTCTCTGCTCCGGCACACCTCCCCCCTCCTTTCTTCCTCCGTTCCTCCACTGACCTTGGTGTTCACGCAGCTGCCCCAACTCCTCCTCACAAGTCTGACTCCTCCTCACCACGTCCCTTCTTAAATACGTTATTGCAGAGGCGCAGCTGATGGGCTCAGTTTTGGTGCAGAGGTGGAGCTGACTTGGAGCTGGGGGAGCTTTGAGAAGCTTCTCACAGGGGGCCACCCCTATAGCCCCCTCCTCTGCTACCAAAAAACCCCATCACTCACTCAAACCCAGGACAAAGGACCTACTGTGCCCCTTTTCACTGTCCTTCACAGATGGGTGACCTGATCCTCCAGTACTTACTTTGACTCCTTGTCCAGTCTCAATGTCTATATCTCAACTTGTCCGTATCTCCTTGTCCATATGTCAGTGATACAGAAGAGGCTCTCTCTGTTTCATGAAAGGGTACTGGTCCTATAAATCACTGGATCAGAATTTGAAAGAAGAACTTGGAGTGTGCTTGGCTAACCCCTGAAGGGAACAAATATTCATGGCTTATCTTTAATGTTTCCTTCTTCTTTCAGCATCTTCTGTGTTGATATGTTAAAAAACCTCGTAAAAATAAATATTAATTCTGCTCTTTGAGGCTGTCTTCTGACTGACAAGTCCTACCCCCCCAGCCTCCCTGTATGGAGGTCTTAACTTTTCAGTATGTTTGGCACCTGCAGGTTTTTTTTTTACTGAGTGTGCTGTACTGGCCAGGAGCCGGATCAACATAGTGTTCATCTGCAGAGCATGTGAGAAAGACTCTGAACAGTTTTGGAGAATCAGGTGTGAGGGAAGCTGTGGGAATGAAGGGTGGTTAGCAAAGTTGTAAACTGACCTTCAAACTAGAAAGGTGGTTGTGGTTAAATGAAGCAAGAGTGCAGAACACCCTGTTGCAAGTGTGAAAAACTGCAGGTCAGAACACCAGCTGTGGAGTGTGTGATGAGCAAGTGGTCAGTAAACAGACTAGATCTGAAGGTCAGTAGGATGGGAAAAACAGAAATGAAATATGTAAACAGGGGGTAATAAATTGGGGGCTTTCACACAGGATGGTAATACTGGCTCTTGGCAATGCTCCCACTTCGCAAACAGACGTGAGTTTGTCACTATTCAGTGCATCACCCTGATCCTGGCTGGTCCAAGACTGGCAGGAAGCCACAGAGCAGGGTGTGTAGTAGTCAGCTGTTTGCTCAGGATGTAGTAGAAAGGAGATGGATTTCGGAGATCCTGCTGAGGCATGTGGCAGGATTAAGCATGGCAATGAAGGGGAGAGAAAGCAATCAAAAATCATATGAAGGACAAAAGCCAGAGTCTCCTCAGGAGGGACTTTTAATGTGAGAAAGGGTAGAAGACCCCTATCAAAGGCATCACTACAAATTAGACACACAGAAGTCTTCAGCAAGTGCTCTGCTTCCCTCAAATCCTCCAAACCTCTGTCTGTCTCCCCTTTCATCAATGATATTCTGAATATCTCTTCAATGATACTCCTTGAAGATCTGGGATTTTCCAGTTTTGGGACTAAAAGTACATCCCAAAAAATCAGGATTTTGAAGAAAAAGAGGCAGATAAAACACACAGAGAGTGATTAATGTTTTACAGGAGGTTTTGGAGGCAGTTGCAGTTCTGGCTCATGGGAGGTGGTATGGGACAGAGCAAAACTCATACCAGGAGACTGGTTTGCAAGAAAATGTAACTTGCTAAGAACAGTCTCCATGCACCAAATTTGGAATGCAAAGTTTTTCTTGAGATGTCCAGACAAAAGGGGGATCTTGAGAGATGATACCGGGTTTGCTTGCAAAATCGCTGAAGGGAAGTTCCTGATCTCATCTCCCTGCAAACAGATACAAACGTGCACATCTATACACATGCAAACACAGTTCAAACCCATTCTTTTACACTAGTTGTAAAATACAGAAAATTAAAGTAGACAGAGGAATTAGTCACTGTCCCTGCTTTTTGCAGCCACTGTTGAAGGATAAGTGGTGAAACTCTAAGCAAGAGTTTCAGCCATGTCTCTGAGCTCTTGAGTAGTCCACCCCAATAGCAGCACTCAGGGTTCAGGCAGGGATGAACTCTGTACACAGCAGGTGTTTGCATAGATGTAGGCACAGAATCATAGAATTGTTTAGGTTGAAAAAGCCCTTTAAGGTCATTGAGTCCAACTGTTAACCTAGCACTGCCAAGTCCACCATGTAGCCATGTCCTTAGACACCACATCTACACATCTTTTAATACCTCCAGTGATGGTGTCTCAACCACTTCCCTGTGCAGCCTGTTCCAATGCTTGGCAACCCTTTCAGTGAAGAAATTTTTCCTAATAACCAATCTAAACCTCCCCTGGTGCAGCTTGAAGCAATTTCCTCTTGTCCTATCACTTATTACTTGAGAGAAGAGAGGTGGGTGGACGAGAGAAGAGAGGTGGGTGGAAGAGAGGTGGAGAGAAGAGAATGGAGTGATAAGGTCTTTCCTCAACGTCCTCTTCTCCAGGCTAAACAACCTCAGTTCCCCCAGCCACTCCTCACAGGACTTGTTCTCTAGACCCTTCAGCAGATTTGTTGCCCTTATTTGGAGACGCTCCAGCACCTCAGTGTCTTTCTTATAGTGAGGGGCACAAAACTGAATACAGTATTTGAGGCGCAGCCTCATGAATGCCAAGTACAGGGGGACAATCACTTCTCTAGTCCCGCTGGCCACACTATTTCTGATACAAGCTAGCCTTCTTGGCCACTTGGGCACACTGCCAGCTCATATTCATCCAGTTGTCAAGCAAGACCCCTAGGTCATTTTCTGCCATGCAGCTTTCTAGCCATTCTTCCCCAAGCCTGTAGCGTTGCATGGAGTTGTTGTGATTCAAGTGCAGAAGCCAGCACTAAGTCTTGTTGAACCTCATACAATTGGCCTCAGCCCATCGATCCAGCCTGACCAGATCCCTCTGTAGAGCCTCAAGCACATCAACGCTCCCTCCCTACTTGATGTTGTCTGCAAACTTACTGAGGGAGCACTCGGTCCCCTCATCCAGATCATTGATAAAGATATTAAACAGAACTGGCTCCAGTACTGAGCCCTGGGGAACACCACTTGTGACCAGCTGCCAATGGGATTTAACTTAATTCACCACCACTCTTTGGGCCCAGCCATCCAGCCAGTTTTTTACCCAGTGAATAGTACACCCATCCAAGACATGAACAGCCAGTTTCTCCCAGGAGAATGCTGTGCGAAACAGTGTCAAAGGCTTTATTAAAGTAGAGGTAGACAACATCCACAGCCTTTCCCTCATCCACTAAGCAGGTCATCTTGTCATAGAAGGAGATCAAGTTAGTCAATCAGGACCTGTCTTTCATAAACCCATGCTGACTGGGCCTCATCACCTGATTGTCCTGTACATGTCATATGATGACATTCAAGATGATCTGCTCCATAACTTTCCCTGGCACTGAGGTCAGACTGACAGGCCTGTAGTTCCCTGGATACTCCTTCCAGTCCTTCCTGTAGATGGGTGTCATGTCTGCTAACCTTCAGTCAACTGGAACCTCCCCGGTTAGCCAGGACTGCTGATAAATGATTGAAAGTGGCTTGGTGAGCACTTCCACCAGCTCCATCAGTATACCTTGGGTGGACCCCAACTGGCCCCATAGACTCGTGTGTGTTTAAGTGGTATAGAAGGTCACTATCCATTTCCCCTTGGATTATGGGGGCTTCATTCTCCTCCCCATCCCTGTTTTCCAGCTCAGAGGGCTGGGTACCTGGAGAACAATTGGTCTTACTGATAAAGACTGAGGCAAAGAAGGAATTAAGTACATCAGCATTTTCCTCAACCTTTGTCACTGTGTTTCCCCCTGCATTCAATAAAGGATGGAGATTCTCCTTAGCCTTCCTTTTATTGTTAATGTATTTATGGAAACATTTTTTATTGTCTTATATGGCAGTAGCCAGATTAAGTTCTAGTTGGGCTTTGTCCCTGCATAACCTCACAACATCCTTGTAGTCCTTCTGAGTTGCCTGTTTTGGAAAAAGGTCCAAAGGTTGTTAACTCTCCTTTTTTTTTTTACTGAGTTACAGCCAGAGCTCTTTGTTCAGCCAGGCTGGTCTTATTCCCTTCTGGCTCATCTTTCAGCACATGGTGACAGCCTGCTCCCTCACCTTTAAGATTTCCTTCTTGAAGAATGTCCAGGCTCCCCTGGACTCCTTTGCCCTTCAGGACAGCCTCCCAAGGGACTCTGTCAACCAGGCT